CTCTGCGTACTCTTGTTCAATACGAGTAAGGCCCAACTTGGCCTTCACGTACTCCGGAGCCCAGGGGTACATGCGGACGTAGTTCTCCCGCGACATCACACTGACGTCCCAAGAGAGTGTGGAGTCCATGCCACCGGAAAATGTCGTTGCAGCAGCAGTTGTGGGGGTGGTGGGGTTTAGGTACTGGCGGGTAAGGGAGTCCACCAAAGTGACGTACTGTTCACCACCCAGCATACCCGAGTTGCGCAACTCCTCCAGTTGCGTCACCGCTTCACGAAAGGATGCAGCCCTCTCGCTAAGAGGGGCTGCAGGAGGGGGGCGAGTGACTGGAGCTCCCGCCAATGGAGGTGCAGCAGGAGACGTCGCCGCGGGAGTTGCACTCCCTGGCGTTGCCGTTGCGCCAACAGACGTGGCCGAGGAAGTTGACGTCGAAATCGGCGGCGTTGGGAGGTTGGAAACCGACATGGAGAATGTGAGACGGAGTATGAACAAGAAAAAACTTTGTCAAGTGACCAAAACGAAAGCGCTAGGCTTCACGAAATGTGTAAAAAGATGTAAAAAGCGAGAAAGGGGGGAGAGAGAGTAGATGCATTGGCAGGGAGAAAGGTAGATTCATTCCAACTGACCCGAAGGGATCACACTCGACACGCCTGAATCACTCCAGATTAGGCTTTACAAGCTCGATGTTGTGCAGGTGAGTTCAAACAGTGATAACGGGAAAAGATCGAGCGAAGAAAACAAAACAAAACACAAGAGAAGCGCTAAGAGGACTGACGAGGCGGTACAAAAGAAGAAAGGTGTGTGTGTGTGTGTGTGTGTGTGTGTGTACGTGTGTTTGTGCTTTATTGGGTTAGACGAGGTGAGAAGTCGTGCACAACGGTAGAAAGCGTCTTGTTGAATGGTGTTTTATTATCCTGTCCTCTCCACGCACACCTGAGCTTGTACGGAGTTATGGTACGCCGAAGCCGTAGGTAGGTCAAAAGAAGAAGAGCAAACGCCACCAGCATACACGAGGAGAAGAAAAAAAGACGGCCAAAAATGGATGAAGGCTCAGAAGAATATCAAAAAAAAAAACGAAGACGACGAAATCAACGAACGCTATCTTCGTTGTTTTCTCTTTCACGCTGGAGTGAACGGAAGGATAGAGGGAATACTAAAGAAGAAAAAAAAAGCGATCTAAGCACCAACGAGCTTTTTTCTTTTATGAAAGAGAGGAACCGTACGCCGCAACGAAACAGGAGGAGAAAAAGGCAGAGAGATAAAGAGGAGAGACGAGGTTGCTATCAGAGATAAAAGCAGGAGCGATACGGGAAACCAATGCATACAGTGTGTGTGCGGTAGGAGCACTTTCACCGCGGGGTTTTTTTTTGTGTGCCTGTGGCGCTCCTCTCATGTATGTTCTTGCCTTTCTAAACTTTGATTACTTGCTTGTGCGCGTATGCTTCTGACCGCTCCTCAGCTCGTACTCGTAACTGGAAATGCCGAGCACTCATGATCGGGCAAGCAGAGCTATTATCATTATTTTGCGCCTCTTACATCTCAAAAATCCCACGAGGATAAGAACCATCTAATACATCTGGTATAGATCATAAGAAACAAGTCAAGCAAAACAGAAAAAAATGTTCACAGAGCTACGCATTATTATTAGCTGTTGTTGTTGCTGGTTTTTAGTCTTATACACCGTCCGTAGCGTGAGCAGGTTGAAGACACGTACAAAGAAAACCGTGAAATCAAGCCAATAATCCAGTGAAAGAAAAACACAAGAGTATGCGCTTTCTCCGCAAATTCATCGTCACAACGTAAGTAAAAGAGAAACAACAGGGTACAAGTGATATCAGCATACATCGCTGAAAGGCGGCGAACCGTGTTAAAAAGTGCGAAACGTCCGTGTGATCCAGTCCTATTTACCTCCAAAGCCGCAAAGAGTTTTTCTCTGCTACGTACTTTATAGGGGTTGATCAAATCGTAATGCCCACACTTGCTGGCTCTCACGCCAAGTCTGAGTTTGAAATCCGCTCGGTCTACACTTCCCTTGTTGGGAAATAGAAGCTACAAATATATATATAAAGCAACTTGTGAACCAATTACGGAGACCTCTTTCCGCAGCTTCTACAACAAGCCTACGTCATACGCTGCGCGATTGAATGGAGCGCTCTCGTTGAACTTCAACAATGGGAGAACGCTTTCGTATCTCTTCGCTTTACAGAAGCCTAGTAGAATTTATCACCATCAACCAGCCAGTATGTGGTCGACGCGAGCCATTGCACCAGTAGTCGAGAACACGATATGTCACGTAAAGTTAAAGGCGATTTGAAAGGATAGGATAATAATAATAATAGTGTCCTCACGATGAGTTTCACACGTTTATTTTACCTTCTCCTTACCTTTAGGTTTGGCCGTCGGCTTCGGCGAGTCTTTTTGTGCCCTTTTCGTCTTCGGCTGTGCTATGGAGGCCGCTGCCCTGGGAGACGGCGTCTTCATCTTCTTCTTCTCCTCCTTGGACACCTCTAAGGTTGGGGACGGTGCGATACCGTTGGTTTTTGCGAGAGCAATGCCTCCCGCTTGTGGCTGCTTCTGTATCTTCGTTGACGGTGAAGACGCCGAGTCACGCCCGAGAAAAAGCACCGCGACAAGGGCCAGCGCAAACCCCCCTTGCAGCAGCATCGACGTCAGCGGCGTAGGGGGGTACTGCTCGAAGCCCTGCCGAATCAGCGCGAACGTCACGAGGCAGAACGCACGCGGGAAGGCGGTGTAGGACAGCACAAACGGGATCGTAAAGAAGAACCACGTGTAGAACTGGTAGTGCAAGGTGCGGGCAAAGACAACGCCGATGAGGTTCGACTCAAAGAAGGTGAGCACCGTTGCCACGTAAGCCGCGCGCTCCTCCGCCTCCTCCGCTGTCTCGTCACCGTCACCGTCGACGGTGGCGCCTGGTGCGGGGTGCGGCACGTCGCGGAGAACAGGTCGCAGAGCCGTCGCTTCGGCAGACGTCAGGTAGGTGCGCTTGGCCCATCGCGTGCGCCACACGAGCACCCACGTCGCCACCGTCGCGGCCAGCAGTGCCGTTCCAAACCGCGGGTTCACGAAGGTCGCGTTGTCGAGGAATTGGTAGTTGACGGACCAGCGCTGCGTGAAGATGCGGTCCAGCTCAAAGCCTTTGCTGACGTACGCTTCATAATCGTGCAGCAGAAACGGAAACCCCTCCACCACCTGCAACGCCGCGCAAACACACAGACAACCCATCACCTGGAGGAGCGGGAGGGTGCGCAGCATGACGTAGAGCATACCCGGAGCGAAGAGCAGCACATTCATCTTGATGGACACCGCGAAGCTGTAGAAGAAGCACCCCAGCACCCAGTTGCGCACGCGGCGACCGTCGCGCGCGGGGGAACCGGCAATAAGGGTGACGGCGATGACCAGAAACAGCATCGCCCAGCAGTCATTAAAGAGGCGGAGCACGTACAAGCTGCGAATGCGCTTGGAGATGAAGAGCGGCAGCATGACCTTCCAGCTAAGACCGGCATTGGTGTAAAAGCGCAGCAGCAACGCCAGTGTGCCAAGGTACACGCCTGCAAAAATCCACTGGGCGACTTGGATGTCCTCGCCAAGCTTCGTGAAGTAGTAGAGAACGCTGTAGATCCACACAAAGCCGCCAGGGTACACAAGAGGCCCGGTGCCGCCCCCCAGCTTGCGGTAGTTGAGCTGGCCACCGAGAAAGCCGGACACCTCCTCCATGTACGCCTTCCAGTCGATCTCGGTGTACGGCACACAGGCGATGATGCCGGCGACTACCACCGTCTCAACGGCTAACGCAAAAGTTGAGAAGCGCATTTAGACTTCGAGATAGAGATGTGATAAGGAAAAGCGCTATCTTTTTTAAAGGCGCTCCAAGACCGACGTAAGTTGTTGACTCAAAGTCGTGTGTTGACAAATACCTTGCATACAGATCTATATGTGTACTTTATGAAAGGAGCAGTTGTCACGTACAATACAAACAAATACGAATCGTATAGGTAGATGAAGTACTCCAGACCCTTTAGCGGTGGTGCGAGGAGAGTGATAAATACAAGTAAAAGAGAAGAGAAAGAAGCCAAGAAGACACCAGCAAAGCCCCGTTGCAGTGCAGTCAGGCGCTGCAAAAGAGAAGAAGTGGAAAGGCAGTTTGTGCAACGGACGAGGAACGACAACGTCGCAACTCGCGTAAGCATAGCGGTGAGCTATGCAAGGCAAAGATTGCTTTCACCTGGTGCCCGATCAACTAAATGTCGACTTAGATGTTGTGTTTACAGTGATTTAGCCTTCATTAAAGCTGTCTCATCGAACACCTTGAGCCAGTCGACGCTTCTACTCTTCTTTCTATCCTGAGAGTTCCCTTTCAACCGTTCAAAGTGAACAGCTAGAAGAAAAAGGACAACAACAACAAGCAGCAGAAACGAAACAAAACGATATATCGGTGGAAGTGCGCACCAGAAATGAAGATCAACGGAAAGCCACCGAGCTCTTCAAGAAAAGAAGAAAGGGAAAAAGCTATTCGAATAACTACAACAAGGAGAAAAACCAAAGGTCGCCGCGTTCTTCCTTTAGGACGGTGGCCTTTGAGGCTCTACCGCACGAGATATATTGAAAAAAAATGCCACCCGTGTGTTTAGCGCAGAACGGGTGTGGTAAAGAAGTCCATATCCTCCTGCGTTGTGGCAGATCGCTGCTGTGCCTGCCGGCGGTGCCGCCAGTGCGTCGCATCGGAGACGGTTTCAAAGAGGCGCCAAAAGCGAATCGTGCAGTCGTCACCCGCGGCGAGGGAGGCGTAGCAGCCGGAAAAAGGGGACTGGGCGAAGGGTGCACAAATCAGCAACGGACGCGCGCGATGCCCAGGCAGAGAGGTCATCGGCAGCCACTCCGATCGCGGCCAGCCGTCCTCGCCGCTGGACAGGCCATCGTCCTCAACGCCGGAGTTGACCCTTCCCGTGCGCCACTCTCCTGTGGGAGACGAGTGCGGGTTGCGGCCCACGCGTTCCCTGGCGTCGTCGTCCGCCTCGAAAGCGTTCGTGTGCTCCACGCGGAGGTCATCGCTGTCCACCTCCCCGCACTTCGTGGGCTCGCGCAGGAGTGCCTCGCGCAAGTAGTTGTCCCGGCACCGACTCGCACACCGCCACAGGACGACTGTATTGGGCGGGGTGCTGTGGGCTGGCGCGATGGAGGAGGGGCCTCCGCCCGCCGCGCCGCCCAGTCCGTCTATTCCGGCAAGGAAGGACGCGCCATCCTCCGCCGCGGCGTCCATGTCATCCCAGGGGTCCTGCAGCAGCGGCACCGCGGAGCTCGGCCCAAAGCTCAACCCAACGCCCGAGTGCGACGGCGAAGAGCCGCGCCATCGCGGGCTCCCGTCCAACACACTGCCCACACTAGGCGAGTTGATGTCCGCGCGTGCCGCCGCCGCCGCCGCTGCTGCTGCTGCTACACTCTGCGGTGAACGCTGCAGCGGCGACAGCGACAGCGGCGACGAGTAGGGCGCGGTGCGGTCTGTTGGCGCGCCAGCGCAGGTGACGGCGTAATTACCTGCCGGGTCGTACACCGCCTGCGTCACCGCCGCTGCTGTCGACCCGCAACACGCGAGAATCGGGTCTGCGCTGGACAGGTCGTAGGTGCGCAGCCCAGCCGCACCGGCAGCGCCGCCGACGAGCAACTCATACGGACGTTCCGGATGGAAAGCGAAGGCCTTGACGGTGCACTCCTGATCCACAATGAAGCTGTGCAGGGGCCGCTGCGGGGCACTCAGCGACCACACCTTCACAACGCCACCGCTGCTGCCCGTCGCAACGAGCGAGCCGGTGGCGTTCCACGAGACGCTGCACAGCCGGTCGTGCTGCCGCAGAAAAGCAGAGGCGCGCTGCAACCGGCTGAGACCGCTTCCGTCACAGCTCGACGTCGCGGATGACCTCGACAAGGAGGAGGCCAGTGGGAAAGCGTCTGCGCAGCCGCTGACGGTTGCCGTAGAGCAGGTCGAGTGCCTCTCTGCTCTCCACTCACCGTCGCTGCCAAACCGCAAGACCGGCTGCGTCTGTCTCGCGTCAAGGGCTACCAACCCGCGAGCCGCCGTGGCAGCCGCGCCGAGCCACGGATGTCGGTCACTCGTCCCGATGCAGCCAACAGAGGACACGGAAGAGCTGAGGAGGGAAAGCGCACGAGCGGCGCGCGACGACGCGGCGTTGTTATTACTGCTGCTGCTGCTGCCGTCACCGCAAAGGAGAGAGCTCAAGTAATCCGTCGGTGGCTCTGGCATGGAAAACGCGACGGTGCAGTGCAACCGGCCGTCACCGTGGCCTTCGTACAGCTCCACGGCACCGTTCGACGTTCCCAGGAAACACGAGATTTCTCGGCAGCGCGACATCGCAACGGCGGTGGCTCGGCGTGGCGTATGAAATGCCCGCGACGCGTACACGTCCGTCCCGGCTGGCGGCTGCGCGATCACCACCGTCGACGACGACTGCCGCGGTCGACTGGGGTGAAACAAGACGAGACTTTGCTCGAGAGCCAGCGCCATCTGATGCGTCCCCCACGACAGCGCACTCGTGTAAAAGTCCTCCTGCACCCCGGCAGCGCTCAGTACGCAGTACGACGACGTGAGCCGCGTTGGTTGCCAGGACGCGACGGGCTGTATCGCGTTGGCCCGCAGTACGGTGCGAGGCGCCATGGCCTCGACGGAGGTGCCGATGCGGGGGGAGGTGGCGGAGGTGGTGGTCGTCGGTGTCGTCGTGATGCCTGTCGCCGAGGTCGCTGTCCCTGTTGGAAGACCCTGAGCTGCCAGGGACGGCGTTAGCGGAGGAAAGAGTCGGGTGTGGCGGATGCGCCGCTGCAGTGGTGAGGCCGCAGATCGATCTGGGCTGCACAGCAGTGACGTCGGCGTTGCTGTCGTGACGAAGTGCAGGTCTCTGTCGTCGAGTGGGCACTCTGGAGGAAAGTCTCCCATAGCTGCCATTTGCTCTGGCTGCTTCTTTTTTTCTTTCTGTTGCAGTGGTCGCTGTACGACAATAGGGAGCAGAACAATGGCGGAAAAGGGAAAGCGCGCGCACACAGAAAAGAAGGGAAATTGTAAGGTACTTTTTTCTTTATGGATCTATGGTAGATACGAATATGCTTAAATAAAAATTAGCAGCTAATGAACAGGTGACGGAATGAATTGTATGATTGACGTTAAGAAACGCACATGCACCTCCTCTGCTTTTCGTTGCAGACGTCAATGGTCGGTCTTGAAGAAACACTTCCTGTTTTCCGGGGGTTTTCGTTAAGATCGCGAACAAGAAAAAAAACAAAGTCTATGGCGGCAAAGAAATACGATAAAAGAGAACTTGGATGAGATGCTTTTCTCTTTTTCTAAACTTGTGAACGGGGGAGAAGAAAGCGGCGAGAGTGAAGGTGCGAAAGTGCCAAAAGGCTTCGCCGTGAAGCTCGGTGAAGGTGAGGAAATACTGTAAAGTGATTTCTGTTCAACCGGTAAAGCGGAGTGCTTCAGTGTGTGAAGGCAACAATGGCAGGCGCCAATATGTTCAGCTATGGGGAGAGAAAGGAGGGAGAGGGGTGCTGAACGCGTATTACAGAGTCCTTTCTCAAAGAGAACTCTGCGATATCGAGAAAGGGGAAAAAATGCTGGAAAAAAAACACGTCAAACTAAATTCAAAGTTAAATTGGAAAGAGAGAACAAAAAGAAAGGAGGAAGAGCAGGAAGATGGGGCAAGGGAGGGGGCAAGAGAGAGGATCCTCCCCACCGTGCCGAGAAGGGACGATGTAGCGAAGCTAGGGAGCAGCAGCGAAAATAAGATCGAGGGACGTGTCCGCATGTGGCGACAGCGAACGTAGAGAATCAACATGTCAGTCGTGTTTGTTTGCTTTCCTGCCTCTTCGCCTCTTCCACTGCTGCGTACACACAAACACACACACACATTGACGACTGTTTCCGGCCTCCTTACCCACTGAAACACATAGTGGATGGGAGGCAAAAAATAGGCAAAAGTAGTGGTGTTGACGGATTTTTTTTCTCTGTTCGAAAACAATAAAATGAAGAAGAGAAATACAAACCAACGAAATAGTAAAATAGTAAAAACAAACCAAAAAAAGGAGAGAGGTACGCTTTCGAAATAGGGATGTTTTCTTTGCACAGGCCGGAACACAACTTGAAGCCTGAAACAACCAAAAAGAAAAAGAAAAAGAGGAAAAAGTCGAACAGAGAAGAAGATTAATTAGTATATACCTCCAATTAGTCTGTAGCGTTGATTAAATTAGGAACAATAAAGGGACTTAGCTGCGGGTGAAAGGGAAAGAAATACGGAAAGAAGAGAGAAAGAGAGAACGACGTGCACGTAAATAAAAAGTAAATAAGAAGAAGCAGAATATATGTATATCACGCACGACCGGTGGCTTCTCAAACAAACGTGGCACTGGTTTTCTCTCTCATTCATTTTCTCTTTCATTTCCAAACATCACAGAAGCCGCTTGTTGTCCGTCAACTTCTTTTTTCACACTGTTTCACGCTTGAAATAATAAATAATGACATCTCTGCCCATGCGAAGACCAACAAAACACACTGAACACACACACACACAACGAACATCAGCGGGCACACTCACCATTCGAACCTTTAAAAAAAAAAAAGGGCTGTGAAGAAGAGAAGAAAACAATTAAATAGAGTTCGCGACGAGTCGGTGCATCTAATTATCGGCACAGGATTCATTGTCGTGAGAGAAGAAAAAAGAAAAACGCACCTGTTTTACTTTTCGCTTCTCCACGGTGTATCATCTCCGTACCTTGTGAGGCACATGACCAGTCAGCGGGAAAGAGAGAAAGACCGTAGTATTAGTAGTAGTAGTAGTAGTAGTCGTATAAGTGTTGACTCTCTCTCATTTTGTGTGTGTGTCTTGGTTTCCTTTTCGTGACACGCATCGGTCGTTGGCAACCCTGCTCATAACGCCGCCTGTGCTTTAATAAAGCACATCAGCGTGAATCCGCAAGTCAACAGCAGACCCTGAAGAAAATGGAACGCACGAAGACAACAACAACAACAAAAGAGAATCAAACACTACGCATGAATAACCACAGTTCATTTCTCTACTATTTCCTTCCGTTATATTCCCTTTTCTCGCTCTCCTTTTTCTGTGGTATTTGCTCTGCTCTGATTGCCCTGCGCATTCACAAAACCGATCGGAAAGCGAGAGAGAGACCAGACAGGCTTCGCATCAAGCACCCCGCAGTAGCTCGCATCGGCTGACGACAAAAGCGTGCTGTTGTGAAGAAAAAAAAAAGGGTCTGATAAAAGAAGATGTGAAAGAGGCAGACAAGCAAGCAGCTTAGAAGCCCATGCCGCCCATGCCGCCCATACCGCCCATACCGCCCATTGCCGGGGCAGCACCTTCATCCTTCGGCAGCTCGACGATCGCAGCCTCGGCCGTCATCATCAGACCCGCCACGGACGTCGCATCCGTGACGGCGACACGCACCACGCGAGTGGGGTCGATAATGCCGGCATCGAACATGTTCACGTACTTGTCGTTCAGCGCATCGTAGCCGACGCTCTCGTCCGCGTTCTCCAGAATCTTCTCCACAATCACCGCACCCTCCTTGCCGGCGTTGGCCGCAATCTTCATCGCAGGCAGGCGGATCGCGTTGCGCACGATCGTCACACCCGTGCGCTGATCGCGGGTGAGGGAGGTGTCGTTGGCCAGGGCCTCCAGCTCCTTGCTCGCACGCAGCAGTGCCGTGCCACCGCCGGCCACAATACCCTCCTGCACTGCAGCACGAGTCGAGCACAGAGCGTCCTCGATGCGATCCTTCTTCTCGTTCACCTCCACCTCCGAGCCGCCGCCGACCTTGATGACCGCCACGCCGCCGCTCAGCTTCGCCAGGCGCTCCTTCAGCTTATCGCGGTTGTAGTCGCTCTTCTCGTTTTCGATGAGGCCGCGGAGGAGCTCCACACGCCCCTTCACCGCCGTCGCATCACCGCCGCCGGTCAGCATGACGGTGTCGTCCTTCGTGACGGTGACCTTCTTGACGGAGCCGAGGATTGTCGGGTCGAAGTTCTCCGCATCCAGCTCGAGACCCGTGCCCTCGTCACCGACCAGCTGCGCGCCAGTGAAGATGGAAATGTCCTCCAACGTGGCCGTCTTGTTGTCGCCAAAGCCGGGGGCCTTCACGCAGCACACCTTCAGCTTGCCCTGCAGCTTGTTGAAGATGAGCGTCGTCAGCGCCTCGCTCTCCACGTCGTCGGCGATGATCAGCAGCGGGCGGCCGCTGCGCACCACGTGGTTCAGGGCAGGAAGCAGGCTGTGGATGTTCTGGATCTTCTTGCTGCTCACGAGCACCACGGCATCCTCCAGCTCGGCCTTCTGCGCCTTCGCGTCCGTCACGAAGTACGGGCTGACGTAGCCGCGGTCCACGCTCATACCCTCCACGATCTCCAGCTCCGTCGCCATTGTCTTGCCGTCCTGGGCAGTGATGACGCCGTCGCGGCCGACTTTGTCCATGGCTTGGCCGATCATCTTGCCGATCTCCTCATCGCCGTTGGCGGAGATGGTGGCGACTTGGATGATGTCAGCGGTACCCTTGATGGGGCGGCTCTGCTTGGCGACGTTCTTCAGGATGATATCGACAGCGCGGTCCATGCCGCGCTTCATGTCGATGGGATTCGTGCCTTGCGCAATCGACTTGAGGCCCTCCGCGAAGACGCTATCCACCAGCACGGCGGACGTCGTCGTGCCGTCACCGGCCAGGTCGTTCGTCTTGTTGCAGACCTGGCGCACCAGCTGCGCACCCATGTTCTCGAAGGCGTCCTTGAACTCAATCGCCTTGGCCACCGTCACGCCGTCCTTCGTGATCTTCGGCGCGCCATAGGCCTGCTCGATGATGACGTTGCGGCCCTTCGGACCCAGTGTCGTCGCCACGGCGGCCACGGCACGGGTGACACCCTTCTGCATGGAGCGACGGGCCTTGTCGCCGAAGCGGACATCCTTGCCGGCCAGACGCACGAGGGAGCGGAACATTTGCGTGGGTGAACGGAGGGCGCAAAGAAAGAGAAGAAAAAAGAAAAGGGGATAATTAGGCAAAGAGCGAATAAATCGGTTTCACGAATACGTGCTTCGGAAAACGTGCGTTTGCGAGAAGGTCAGGTGGAGATAAAGAAAAATGCTATTTCTTTAAGAGAGGCGTTAGAAATCTGTGGGCATGCGTGTTTTTTTTTTGGGGGGGATGTTGTTACGCACGTTCAAGTGCGAGTAAGAGAAGACGGCAAAAGAGCAGTGATGGTCGAGAGCAGAGCGGGTATCATGAAGAACGAAATGAGAAAAAGAAGGCAAAAGGAAGAGGAGAGCACGGCACACTACTACTATTACTTGTTTTTTACTTCGTGTGTGAGTGTGGGTGGGTGTACATATGTTACCCAAAAAAAAATTCTCAAAGGTGTGACGGGGTTGATTCCTGCACCCGCGCTTCCTGTACAACTCTTTCGAGATTCGGGTTCAGTTGGATGACATGTTGCACTCGTAGTTCGAAGAGGAGGAGGGAGAGAGCAGCAGCCTGTTGCACATCGTCTCTCCGTCTCATAACCAAAGGCAAAAGTCTTACGCATCATTCGTTCTGCTGTTGATATTTGTCTGCGATTTTTTGTGTTTGCTTTTAACGAGAGCCAATTTCGCTTCCCCACGCGCAAATGCGTGCGTGTCTATCATCTTTTCTTTCTGGATCGAAACGCGCGCACGTTGACGTGGATGTCCATTTGCGCCGTAGCAACGGCTCTTCTGAAACATTTCTGGAGGTTAAAAAGAAAAAAAAAAGAAGGGAGACAACGTCCTCACGAAAGAAAAACGCAAATGCAAATGCAAATGCAACGACGTGCTTTCTCGTCATCTTCTTCCTGTAGTCAAAACAATGCGTTCAACGAACACACACACACACAGAGAGAGAGAGAGAGACACGCGCACGCGTACAACGTAAACAACCTACTCTTTCGCACGAAACCAATAATTAGTACTATCATATTAAACATTAAAAACGAGCGAAAAGATAATGTGAGTAATAAAGGAGCACAAAGGCCGCGATAAACCTCCCCACCATTCTCGTCCGGGGAATACTGGGCGTTTTAGAAACTGCCAAAGAGCTCCTCCTCCGCGTCTCCCTCCTCGTTGTCCGCCGCAGTGGTCTTCTTGCCGTCTTTGTCCTTCGGCAGCTCGACGATCGCAGCCTCGGCCGTCATCATCAGACCCGCCACGGACGCCGCATCGCTAATCGCGACGTGCACGACACGCGCAGGGTCGATAATGCCGGCATCGAACATGTTCACGTACTTGTCGTTCAGCGCATCGTAGCCGACGCTCTCGTCCGCGTTCTCCAGAATCTTCTCCACAATCACCGCACCCTCCTTGCCGGCGTTGGCCGCAATCTTCATCGCAGGCAGGCGGATCGCGTTGCGCACGATCGTCACACCCGTGCGCTGATCGGGCGAGAGGTGCTCGTTGTCGAGAAGCTTGTCCAGGGACTTGCTCGCACGCAGCAGCGCCGTGCCACCGCCGGCCACAATACCCTCCTGCACCGCAGCACGAGTCGCGCACACCGCATCCACGACGCGATCCTTCTTCTCGTTCACCTCCACCTCCGAGCCGCCGCCGACCTTGATGACCGCCACGCCGCCGCTCAGCTTCGCCAGGCGCTCCTGCAGCTTCTCTCGATTGTACTCCACGAGCTCCTGCGCAACGCGTTCACGCAAGAGCTGCTGGCGCTCCTGCACCGCCGCCGGATCGCCGCCTCCGCTGAGTAGCACCGTCTCCTCCTTGCCCACCGTGACCTTCTTGGCAGAGCCGAGGATCGTCGGGTCGAAGTTCTCCACATCCAACTCCAGGCCAGTGTGCTCGTCGCCCACCACCTTGGCACCAGTGAAGATGGAAATGTCCTCCAACATGCCCTCCTTGTTGTCGCCAAAGCCGGGGGCCTTCACGCAGCACACCTTCAGCTTGCCCTGCAGCTTGTTGAAGATGAGCGTCGTCAGCGCCTCGCTCTCCACGTCGTCGGCGATGATCAGCAGCGGGCGGCCCTTCTGGGCCACGTAGTTGAGTGCCGGCAGCAACGTCTGAATCGTGCTGATCTTCTTCTTGGACACCAGCACGAAGAAATCCTCCAGCTCGGCCTTCTGCGCCTTCGCGTCCGTCACGAAGTACGGGCTGACGTAGCCGCGCTCGATCTTCATACCCTCCACGATCTCCAGCTCCGTCGCCATCGTGTTCCCATCCTTGGTCGTGATGACGCCGTCGCGGCCGACCTTGTCCATGGCTTCACCGATCATCTTACCGATCTCCTCATCGCCGTTGGCGGAGATGGTGGCGATGCGCACGACTTCCTCGGTGTTCTGAATAGGCCGCGCCTGCTTCAGGAGGCTCAGCTTCACATAGTCAACGGCGACGTCCATGCCGCGCTTCATCTCAATCGGGTTTGCGCCACGAACGATCGACTTGAGGCCCTCCGCGAAGATGCTCTCCACCAGCACGGCGGACGTCGTCGTGCCGTCACCGGCCAGGTCGTTCGTCTGATTGCACACTTGCCTGACGAGCTGCGCACCCATGTTCTCGAAACGATCCTCAAAGTCGATGGCACGCGCCACCGTCACGCCGTCCTTCGTAACGCGTGGGGCACCGTAAGATTGCTCGATGATGACGTTTCGGCCCTTCGGGCCCAGTGTCGTCGCCACGGCGGCCACGGCGCGGGTGACACCCTTCTGCATGGAATTGCGGGCATTGGTGCCGAAGCGGACATCCTTGCCGGCCAGACGCACGAGAGAGCGGAACATGGGTGTAACGAGCTGGTCGCGAAATTGCTTGTTTTCGTGTGTGTATCTTACACTAATAATAGTAATAATAATAGTAGAAAAGCAAAGAATAGAGGGCAGACGAAGTCAATGGATTCTTTGAAATACGTTCAGGTGTGGAAGAGCGCGCGCAGTGGAAAGAGAGGCGTGTATCTCTGCCGTCGTTTCCGCCCGGTGTGAACGCCACAACTGAGGTCGAAAATTCTGCGAAGGAATTTGCGCGCACAAAACCACCCGAGTTGACGACCATAAAATGTGAGGGAAGGGAAGGAGAAGAGAAGAGAAATACGCGTGTTTTTTTTTTGAGATCGAAAAGGTGGGTTGGCGCGAATAAAAGGAAAGCAACAGTAAATATAAATCAACGAGCAGCTAGTCTGAACTTCTCATTCTTTCTTGTTTGGACTTGCACAGATTGTTTTTACCGTTACTATTGTTACTGTGGAGAAAGAGAAATTGTCCTCGCCTCCTCCACCGCCTCATAATGCGCATCAAGAAGAAGGGGCAAACGATGCAACCGTATTTTGATCCTCTTCCTACCTCCATTTTTTTTTTAACGCGCGTTCCTTGTGCTGGAGTTCTTCCTCAAAAATATATAAATTTGTGAGAGATCAGGAAGGCAAAGAAAGGGTCTCTCAAGAGTGTCTCATTTACATCAGTTCACGTGGTGATCGGTAAAATCACTTTCGGCCTTTGCCTCGCAGCCCTCATCCATGCATTTTCATCGCCAAAATGAGATGGAAAAGAAGGGGAGAAAAAGTCCGTGTTTTGTTTTTTTGAGGGGAAAGCGAAGTGAGAAGTAGCAACTTGGATTAATGCAGTGCCTTTGCCGCGTTATCATAGTGGTCAATTACCTCCTGCTGATCGCCTTCCGGCAGCAAGGAGTAGCCGTGCAACAATACAACTAGCGGGACGAGGACAAACCCCGTCGGCTCCGGGCGGTTCTTCTCCACCGGCTCCAAGGACGGGCCCTTCACCACGCTAAAGCCCGGCTGGCACACCTGCCGGATGAAGAGGCGGCATTGCTGCACGAGGTAGTTGCACTGCTGCTGCACCTTGCGACACTCCTCCAATTCCGTTTTCGTCTTGTTGAGCGATGACTGGGCGTCGGTGAGGGTCGTTTCGAGTTCGCGCTGTTTGCTCGCAGAGCTTTGACGAAGAGCTTCCAGTTCCGCTTTCAGCTGCTCCACCTCCCTTTGGTGGGCAGCATCTGCACTCTCGGCGGCGGCCTGTGTGGCGATGGCGATTTTCGCAGCCTCCAGTTCGCGCCGGAGAGAGGCGAGTTCGTCTTCCCATTTATCTTTATCCGCGGCGTGCGCAGCCACGGTGGACGAGTGAAGCTGCGTCGCTTTCTGCACCTCTGCACTGCAGCGCTTCACAGCTGACGAGGCGTGCTGAGAGAGCAGTCCCTCTCGCTCGCGGTTGTGGGACAGAGCCGCGCGGAGTCGGGACTCGTACTCCGCCAGCTGCAACTCCCACCCCGCCTTTTGAGCGTCGTACTCCAACTTTTGACGCCGGTTTGCTGCCGTGAGCGACTTCATACTAGCGTTTGCTTTGTCCAGCTGCCGCTTCAGCTGCGGCACTTGCACGTGATCGTGCGGGTTCTGGCACGCGGTGGACGAGCCACTGTCGTTGTTGGCGAAGCTACGGTGTCGTACCTCGGTGCTGTCCACCAGGACCTCTTCTCCCGTCTGCACGCCCTCCACACCCAGTGACAGAGGTGCAGCGGAGTAGTGCCGCAACTCCACATTGTTGACGACGGTAGTGCCCCGCACAAGGCCTTGTCTTTTTGCTCCATTCAGCGGTCGCAATGCATCGTAGGAGGTTTCCCTCCCTCCAGGCCCACTTGCAGCTGCGGTGTTTTGATTACTGTGGTAGTACAGCGGTATAGGTCCGCCACCTCGCCCAGGCTGCTGCTTCGCCGGCGCATGGGCACATCCTCCACGGACGGCGCCTTGTGCGGGGGAGGAAGAGGGCGGTCCGGCAACGGGCAGAGAAACCGAGGTTTGCGGCGCCGCAGCGGCTACAGGGACGGCGTTGTGGTTCACAAAGAGCGGACCGCTGTGTCCAGTTTTCTTGGTCTGCACCGTCGACGACTGGGAAGGGGAGCTGCTCGCGCTAGGAAGCAGCACCTCAGGCGATGCGACCTCAACCTGTGTTGGAGGAGCGCGGGGAGGCGTGGGCGCTTTTGAAGGTCGACGATTGGTGGGGACGACCCCATTGTTGACGTCGGACCAACGCGGAAGTGCGGGGTACATGATATGTGCAGCAGGGAATTATCAGAGAAGAAACAAGAAACTAGCGCAAAGCTTCCGTACCAAGAAGCAGAGTGGCACCCATGTGTGCGTCATGCTGATGAGAAGTTGCCCAAGCAATCCAGCGTGGATGTGGGGGGAGGGAAGGGAAGGGACGTAGCAGAGACACAATACAAAGCCGAAGAAAGGGAAGAAAGAGTAGAAGAAACGACTGGGGGGAAGAAAATGTATATAGTCTTGGGGTGCACTCTGTTAGGCTGAGGTCGCTGGAATGCTTGCTTATGCAGTGGTTTCAGCTTCCGCTAAATGAAAACAGAACACATAAAGGTATTTGGCACCGAAGGTGCAGAGCGGAACGCACCCGCTGAGCCCCAACTTTGTCAAGCAAAGCGCAGACGTACTTTACTTGTGGAGCGTTGTAGAGTTCTTCCTAGTTTTCCCTTCGTCGTCGTTACGTGTGAATGGAACTGTTAATGTTAGCAGGGGCATACCAATGCCAAATTGTTCGTGACGTATCACCATCACTTACACGAGGTAATTGATTACGGTGTATGTTTGCTCGGTTAAGTATTGCAGCTCAGCAGTACTGCATTTTCTTAGGGGAGGAAAGGAAAAAGAACCCCGCTGTTTGTGTGTGCTTGCTGAAGTTGCCTACACAGTGTTGCTGTTAGCGGCCGAGGCAAAGAAGAGCATGAGTAGCCGCGTCTCCTCCGCTGTAAAGTACGGTGACACCTCGTTGCCATACCTCTGCATCCACGGCAACAGCTGCGCTCCCATCGCTGCCACAATCCGCTCCTTCTCCATCTTTTCGTTCCTCGCTCGTCCACCTACCGCAGGTGGTGCAACGTCCTGTGTCAACGGCGGCGACGCAGTTGCGTCACCATCATCGCCATTGTGGCCTTCAAAGCTGTCCACCTCCTCCTCCTCGTCCCCGTCCCAACTCTCTTCGCTGTTATCGCCATCGTTATCGTCGTTGCTGTCTTCTTGGAAGAGTCGGTTGCCCCTCTCCACACCGTCGTCGTCCTCCGAGGAAAAGGAAGAGCCGCTTTCGCCGTCGTTGTCCGCGAGATCGACATTGTCAGGCTGACTCGCACGACGGAGCGCAGACAGCGGCGCACCAAGCAGCGTCAGCAAACCGCGGCCAACAGCAACGAGAATGGCCGTATACAACGGCAGACTGGTTTCGACCACTGCACCACCGACAAGAGTTGACCCGAACGTCGTCTGATGTGCAAAGGACTTGCCGCCCTTCTTCTCAGGGTTGCGCTTCGTTGATTTACGCGAGCCAGTCTTTTCCTCCGGCGCACCGCCGCAAACGTCTTCAGGGAGTTTCCAGCGACATGACACGGGCTGCTGTGCGACTTGCTGACACTCCTCCGCGGTCATGGAAGCCCGCGCGGACTCCGACAGCATTTGGAGCAGCCCCAACAACCCCTCACACGACGAGTAGGTCACGCTGAGGTTCGTAAAGTACTCCACTCGCGGCAGCCAGTGTGCCATCGTTTCCGCGAGAAGCCCGCCCTGCACGAGTGTACGCAGCAGCACGGCAGGGTAGAGCAGCAGCAGCGTAGCAAGCGGCGCAAGCAACTGCTGTGTCACCGTGTCCGTCCGCACGACACCAAGTCGATGCACCGTGGCATGAACCACACGCAGCAGGTCCGCTTCAGAAAAGCTGGATGATCGACGCATGATGGTGACCAGCGTCTGTCCCATCTCCAGCAGGGACGCTTCACCTCGGGCATCCTGCAAGGTGCGCAGCACGATGGCCACAACCACCGCTGAGAAGGGGTAGACCGCACGCGGCGCGTGGGCGAGCAGCGCGGTGTCCACAACGGCACCTTGCTCCACCGCGCTGTCGGTGCCGGACAACGCCGCCTCCACGCTGGCAGCGACGACTTGCACCTGCAACGACTGAGCCGACGGGCAACGACGCAGCAGCGCAGCGAGGCAGCTGCTCGACGCGACCAGGATGGCCGACTCGTCGGTGCAGAGGAGGAGCTGGCACAGACTGTCCAGCATGAGCGTCGCCGCCTCGTTGGCAACCTCGTCTGGGGCGTACGTAAAGATGAAGCGCAGCAGCCGTAAAAAGTACGGTACGGCGCACACCTCCGCCATGGAGTCGGCGTAGCCGCACAAGACGTTGTTGACCCACGACAGCTCTAGCAAAAGCTGCGAAAGGGCTGAACTCCCGCTGGTGCCACCAGCAACGCCGCGGCCGCCGTCACGTACAACGCGGCGGAGCAGCTGCAGCACGACATCCGCAAAGCTCGGATCACTAACGTGGCGCCGCCAGCAATCCATCACAATCGCTGGCAGTCGTTCCGACACGAGAGAAACCTGTCCAGCGTTGTTGTTGCTGCTGGCGCTGGTTCCCCGCACCTTACGCTGCGCAGCGTGAAGAAGGTCCGTCAGCTGTTCTACCGTACCATACAGAACCTCTTCGTTCAAGCCAACCTGTGGAGAGAGAAGAAATAAGAGTGAATTCTGCAGCGCGGCAAAATGTTGCTCTAACACGGTTGGTGGCCAGTAGGGCAGCGTGCTCTGCAGAAATCGGCACAACACCACCGCGACAAAGAGCGAGCACGACGGGGCAGGCGATGGCGACGCGAGAGTGGCGAGAACCGCGGCACTCTCCGCAACGGCGGTGGCCATGAAGGCGTTGAGTGCCGCCGGCGTAGGCGTAGGATTGGCCGCTGCGGTGCTCCGTTGCGGAGACACACCAGAAAATTGTACAATGGCGGTGAGCAGCATCAGCGCCCGCGCACTTGTCGCGGCGTGTGCGGTGGGGCCTGCGACATCGTGGCCCCAGATGTGCGCCGCCAGTCGCGTAAAGTCGGCCACCCCACACTCGCGCAGGTTTTTGGAGCACTGGCGCAGAACCACCTCCATGAAAAACAGACGGGCCTCTCGTTGCATCATCAACAATTGCTTCTGCGTACCTTGGTGGGTGGCGCCCATCGCAGCCGTCGCGTCATCCGGCTCCTCAGAGAAAAGACGCGCATTAAGGTCCTCCAATGTGGCATGTAAAAACAGCGGTCCAAGTGCAGTGATGCTGTCCGTGTACAGCTGCGCAACGGTCTCGCGCGCGGTCCATCGCACGCCGTCTTCGCGCTCCTCCTCTTCTCGCAGAAAGATGTTGGGATCGTCCAGCCACGCATCCGCCTCTGACGGCGCAAGCACCGCGTAGGCGAGTAGCAGCTCGTAGTACCGGCGCCCGCACTGATCGCCGACGACGTCGATGAAGCCGCGCTGCAGAAAAGGAAGGAGGGCGACATCACGGAAAAGCGTCCAACGTTGCGTCACGTGGCAGCGCACCAGCTCGGCTGTCTCCGGCACCGCCCCGTCGCCGACGGCAACCCAGCTGTCCACCCGTCCTCCGCTAGACATCGCTGGGACGGAGCCACCACCCACTTCCTCACCGTCCTCCATGGATAAGGCCACCTGATAACTGACGACATCCGCCTCCAGAGAGTTCAGGATCCCCTGCAGCAGCTCTGCTGAGGCACACCGTTTATACCATCCACCGTACTGCAACACCTTCACCAGCAACTCTTGCGTCGCGAGAGAAGCTGCGATCAGCGGAGCGGCACGGGACAGCGCAACGGACAAACCCGACGCGTCATCGGCGGCGGTCGGAGAGACGGCCGCAGCAGCCCACTGCGCACACGGTACAAGCAGGTATGTCTGTAATGAAGGAAATGTTTGGATAAAGGCATTCCTAAGATCCGCAGGGAATTTGCTGCCACGAGATGCCGCAAATTGCCATTCGTATAGTACACAGAGCGTTTGGGCGACAAGAACTTGAAGAGCGCAACGCGCTCGATACTCATCAAGAGAAGACACCCCCTTTGCGGCAGCATGCTGGGCGGTTGCAATACTACATACAATCCCTAGCAGAGGCGACACGCAGCTCGCCACGAGCTCCGCACACCACACGTGCGTGGCTTCCGGGACCGGCTCCTCAAAAAAGCTTTGCAACAAGTACACGTGGCTGTGCACGATACTCACTTCGGCAGCGGTCGCCTGCGTCAAGTGTGCGAACGCGTGGAGAAGCTGCGACGTGATGAGGTTCGAAACAGACTCGAAACAGGCAGCCACAGCGGCGGCATCTCGCGCCGGCGATGCGGCGAGGGTCACGCGCAGCACGGCGAGGCGGTGAACACCCGTCGCCACGACCGAGTTCCATTGGCGAACCGTCGCCACGCTCACCTCAGACCCCACGGCAACGTCGCCGAGGTGACCAAGAAAGAGAGACACCACCTGCTGCAGCTCTTCATAGTGGATGGAGTTTGAGAGGCTGCGCTTGAGAACGGAGAAGGCCACCAACGCGAGAGCGCGCTGTTCTTTGTCGCCGACAACACTCCCGCAGTAATGAGCAAGAGTTACACAAAAATCCGGAGCGGTGCTGCTGCGCTGCTCCAGCTCCTTTTCCGCTGCCTTGCGCAGTACATTATCCGCGCTGAGAATGCACGACAACAGCCCCTCCAATGGGGTGCTCTCCATTATGCCCTTGTTGTTGATGTTGTTTGCACTTATCCGTCGAAGCGATCTTCTGTTTGATTCGACTGCTGTACTGTGCCTCAATTGCACTGATCCGACAAAAAAAAAGAAGAAGAAGAAAGGGACGATAGTGTGAAAAAAGTGAAGAGGAACATTAACAAACAAGAGGGAAAAAAAGATGCTCAAATCACAGGCATTCCGTGTCGCAAAGTAAATGCCTGGTGAGAGCGTGCCATTGCCACAACGATCTCAACACGTGAGGTGCGATTGAAGACAAGCGCTTCATAGCACAAAAAAAAAACATCATCGTTGCTGCTACTTAGCCAGCAGCCGGTCGTCAAGAAAAATTGATTGAATAGAAACTCAAAGAAAGATTTGAAACAGCGAAATCGATAACGCCTGTATTTCTTTGGGCGTCGAGCGTTTATCGTATACAGCTCAAGTGTGAAAAAGCAACCAGTTGATACCAAAGAAAAAGGGGAGAAGTGTGGTGAGCTACGAAAAGGAGTGAGACGGCCACGATGAAGTGCTGCACGCGGTGGCGTGGTTAGTGCGTAAAACAGGCTCATGCAACACGAACTTGACGGGTTACCCCTCAAGTCTTATTCGTTTGTGTTACCTGTCTCCTTCATCCTTAAAGCTCATGTATGAGGCTCCTTCCTCAATCACCTCTCTTTCCTCGTTTGTGGAGTGAATCACGTCGAGGTGGCAAACGTGCCGAGGGTGCTGCTCTCAACGCCCGTTTTTGCCGGAAAGGTCAGCGAAGTGGCACGCTGCCTCGGCTGCGAGAGGTCAACCGGGATGAGGGGTGGAATTTTGGAGCAGATCTCCACAACAGCGTTCTCCAGCGGCGTGGGTGTTTCTTGGTACGTGTTGTCCACTACGCTCACGAGCACCCACTCCGACTGGATGTAGCGCACCACCGCGGGAACGTCATGACCAGGGAAGGGAGCTGCCCACAAGTCAAACGCCTCGCCCACCCACGCCCGAAATGAGTCGACGGAGACGATGGTCGGTTGAATCACCTCTCGGCCGGGGAACACACCCCACGTCACAGCCGTCACGCCGACACCGAAGAGAGACATCCTGTCGTGCGGCTGTTGGGTGGGCGAGGCCACGGTGGGGTCGTGCTCAGCTGCCTGTGGCGGCGATGCCTCGCTGTCCTTGCCAGAATCGTCGTCCATGCGCCACCGTGCATGCACCATGTTGCCCTGCGCGTCCATAGCCATGTACTGCAGTGACGGGTACCTCTCCAGCGTTGTAAAAACTGTCTGCGCCATCGTCAGCGGGCAGAAAAACTCCAGGTAGCTCTTCTGGTACACACAGCCGTCGCCTGGGCCCCAGCCAACGACCTTGTGTGAGCTTGGTGCCCCATTCACGTGCGGCTGCGAGTTGATGGTGTAGAGACCTCGTGCGTTGAGCGGTTTGAGGAGGTGCTCGCCGACGTACACTGTCTCACCGGAGAGCTCGTCTGCCCACGGCAAGGTTCCGTTGCCGTCGAGGAACGCTACAAAAATGCGACTCAGCGCCGAAAGAGCCGTTTGAATTTCCGGCATTCCCTGAATGACGAGAAACTGCGTGCACCGCTTGGCACGACTGCGCAGCAGCAACCGGGCGTGGTACCCGCCCACCTCGCCAAGGGCAAGGGCGCTTCCGTGATGGGACCCAGACACGGGGTTCCACTTGTCCGTCTTTCGGTCCTGCCACTGCGCCGTGCGCACCATGTAACTCGTCACCCGGGACGACCAGTGCACCGGCCGCACCGTCTCCTGACGTCTGCGCTCCTCGTTCTCGGAGGGGCGCCATGGGAACATGCGATGCGTTGCCACCTCGATTCCTTTCAGGATGGCTACCAGGAGGTAGTCGGCATTCATGGTGAAAAGATACACCCCGCCGCACCCGCGGTTCAAGAGCTGCTTCACGAGGTCTTGATAAAAAGCCACGACGACGCGTCGTGTCTCACTCTCGCTCCCTTTCACGGCTTCCATTTTTGTGACGAGATCCGCCGTCCCAGCCAAACGACGCAGTCCAAACGCGTTTAGCTGTCGAAGTTGGGAGATGGGCAGCACGCCCGGTAGGATGGGACACCGAATCCCGTGACGGCGACACTGCTGACAAAAGTGATCGAAAACGTTCACGTCGAAGACGCTGTGGGTGATGATGTAATCGGCCCCCGCGTCCATCTTCTCCTTAAGAAAACGCAGCTCACGCTCCTCTATTTCCGCTTGCCTCGCAACGTTGTCCGCCGAATCACCTTCGCCTTCGGGGAACGCGACAACGGCGATGCCGAAGAAGTTGCCGAAGTGCTGACGCACGAAGCGGACGAGGTCGACGGCGTGCGGGAAGGCAGGGCTTGCGGGAGGTGACGACGGTGCAGAGCCCACAGCCATGGCATCGGCATCGTCCGCTGTCCCATGGGCTGCGGGCTTACTTTTGTTCGTGGTACAACTTGAGGCACGCGTCGTGGAGATCGTCTTGTTGGCACTTGCACCGCGAGTGATAAGTACGTTGCACACTCCTTTTGATTTGAGGACCGTGAGCCACTTGAGCATTTCCTCCGGCTCGCTTGCATATCCGGTGAGGTTCACTTGATGGTTGACAGACAATAGTGACTGACAGGTGGAGGCGACCTCTATCGAGGTCTCTGCGCTGCGACCACCTTCATCCCACGTGATGCCGCAGAAAAGAGGGTCAAGTGCTGCCAAACGTTCGATACGGTCGTACAGCGTGATTACGCCAGCCTCCGTGGTGGGAACAGTGAACTCAAAGCTCACAAAGTAGCGACCATTCTCATTCGCCTGCTTGATGGCTTCTGCAATTTTTACCATTGTGGTGTGTTTGCTGCGGTGAACGCGCTAAATAGCGCTGACTTGTGTTCTCCGTAAAGCAATTAAAAATCGAGCAAAGCAGCAACATCAATACAATCTGGTGAGAGGAGAAGGGCAAATAAAAGGTAACAAAAGAGAGGCCAAATGCAAGCGTCAACCATAGTGACAGAAGTCAAACATTCTCTTCTTCTGAAAACAAGAAGATACAGAAAAGAGTGCCTTTAAATGCCAAATATGGCACAAGGATGATGTACGCCGTGCTCCCGAAGAAGTGCGATGCCTAAGTAACTTGTCAGGACGTACAAGCACTAACGCTTGTTGGAGTTCCTTTGACGCAGCTCTATGTAGTACTCTCCTACTTCGTACGTTCTTAAAATTCTTTGTCTGCTGTTTTGCAGGAAGGTCACGTCAGAATACGAAAAAAGAAAGTAACAAGAGCCCCAGGAGCTCAGCAGGACAGTTTTTTGTGCATAAGTTCATGTGTGGTCTTCATCCCTAAATATACGCATGGTTGCGAACGTAAAAACCTCAAGAACTAAACAAATTTGAGCGGCAGAGAAAACAAAGGGGAGAAAAAAAACGATGCTCGCCCCAAGTATTGGCTGAGAGTAATGCCACGTGATTTGCTTTCACAGCTATACACACAAAGAAAAGGTAAGAATCATTTCTTCTCGCTCTCAAGATAGATGAGAAGCTCCTCCAACGGTCGTTCCGGTTTCTTCTTCAGTAGGACTTGCACTAAGCTCTCTAGAAACTCGTCTAAGTGTTGTGATTGAACGTACTGCTTGTCGAGGTAGGTTTGCCAGCGGTAGTCAAGCATTTTAAGCTGCTCATTTGTGTTGTCTAATGTTAATCTTAGCGTTAAAAGCTGGCTTATCTCGTCTGTATCGGGGGGTTGTAACCCAAGTTCAATGGCACGATCGACTTTCGTCTGCAGCACCTCAACCTCGTCCGCCATTCCAGAATAATTATCTCTCCTTTGCTGCATGACTGATGTCGTTATTGTGCTGATATGGATGGCTCTTGAAAGATGCTCATAGCAAAAGACGCGGAAAAAAGCAACCTCTTCTTCAATGCGTGCGTTTGCAACTTTGAGAAATGAGAAGATGGAGGGCACACGTAAAGGACAGCTTTCTTTAACGTACTGAGAGAAAAAAAAATCGAGCTATGGAGTGCAAACTGAAAGTACATTAAGACGCAGAAAAAAGACGATTCTATTGTTTCCCTCTAGCGGAGAGATGCTGAAGCACGCAAATTGCCTTCGTGCACAGAGACGATCAGAAGTGTGCTCGTGGAAAAAGAGAGCTCGACTGTCAGATCACGCCGCCAACTGCAGTGTGCTTTTTTTTTTCCTTTTCTACTACGATTTTAGGACAGACACGTCTTATTTGTATTTGAAGCAGTCGGGAACACGAACAGGTAAGGCAATGCACTCCATCCGAATTGTTGGGATAGGCAGAAAAAAGAAATGCGTAGATGCGTTCCAGTGAATAGATGACATCCATCATGTTGATAACACTTGGTACACGAACCAAAGCGCGCAAGAAGAGGAAAAACACGCGAGCACCTGCAACACATGTAAGGAAGAAAGAAACACCTAACTCCCTCAATTTCAGTTGCCGTCAAAAACAGTACGCTAGCTGCTCAGCCACTATGTACTTGGCGCGTCAATTGCTTCGCTATTATTAGAGTCTTTCTCTGAGCCATCATCCGCGGTGAGGTCGTTGTCCGGTCGGGAGAGCAGCGAGAGAAAAATCGACATGAGATTGCTCTCCAGAAAGGGAAGAGACCATGAAAACGCGTTGCGCCCTTGTAAAACGCACGGATGAGGAGAGGGCTCAAACTGCTTAAAGTTTACAGACTCTTTTGAAAGCACAAGAACAGCACCTTTGTTTCCAAAACTTGAGCAGTAGTTTGGGGCGGAGAAGATCGAGATCAGGCAAGGGAAAAGGTGATTGGGGTGTGGGCGGTAAAGTTTGAATCCCAGTTCCTGTACTTCGTGGCTGCGCACGATGCAAAGGAGGTTGTTTGCCGAGGCGAAGCGTTTCGCACACGCGAAGTTGAAGACATAGCTGAATCCTCGTTGCTTGTTCTTTATGAAAAGTGGACGTGTCTCAAATGAACCGACTCGCGGCACGTACGTCTCGCCAGAAGACTCCTCCACATTATTGTACTGCAGGTTGTCAGTGTCCCAATCTGGCTCACTCCACACTAAGTCACACATTGCACCACGTGTCGGGATGTGGCGAAAACGGTGAATGAGAGCGATGTCGCTGATGTGAGAGACATCAGGTGAGAGCCCGGAATGAACACAAAAGTACTTGTCGAGGACGACGGCTGCCAATGGCAAACAGTTGAACGCTGAAAGCAGTAGTGTAAAAAGATTCTTGCCGTACTTCTTTTGGCATTCGTCTCCAAGGTGAAGCACGTCTGCCATCAGCTTCGATTCGTTGCTGCCTCGTATCAAATAGACAAACTGCGGACACGCAGCTTTGGCGGCAAGAAGGAACAGCACGCACTCCAAGTTGAAACCGCCGTTTCCAATGTAATTACCGAGAAAGAGGTACTTTGTGGTCCGTGGAGAACCCCAAGAAGCAAAGATTTTTATAAGGTCGTAATATTGGCCTTGTATATCTCCCACTATAGCAACGTCACCGTTGATAGACAACGTATTTGGCTCGGTGCGAAGCACGAGGGCAGCCTGTTGTACGACTTCCGTTGCACATTCCAGAGATAATGACTCTTCGCAAAGAAAGCGTTGCATTATGCTTTCAAGGGACAGTTTCTCCTCTCCGAACTCACCGGAGCTTGTGGGCGGTGAACCCCGCATTTGGATTGCCGGAGTGGCGCTATGTGAATCCCCAAATTGGCTCATTGTTGTACAGTCATATTCAATCGCTATGAGATCTATTTATGAAGCGCAAAAATAAATATTTATATACGATTCCTCACACATATATATATATATATACTTCTTTGGTTGTTATTGTTGTTGTAGTTGTCAACGCACCGCGGTGAACTTGCTACGATGCAAAAAAAAAATAATAATAATAATGGCAAGTAAAGCAGAAGATGAGAAACAGCAATTCAAATAGAATAGCACACAAATAAATAAATAAGCAAGGAGAAGACTCCTTTTGTTCGCGTGACCTTGATACAATATTTATTGAACGTACGGAAAACGCAGAGTTATAGTGGATGGGTTTAAGCATCAATGGCTCCATGCAACATTTGCCAAGAGATATGTAAGAAAACACTTACTTATAAATGCTTCAACTTTCACCTCAATTAAAACGCGAGAAGATTTTTACTTAGATTAAAAAGCAGTTACCATTTTTTTTTGTTGTTCGAAGCACTTTTAAATTATGCTGTGCACGTAACAGTTACTGAAAACAGATGCTGCATTTGAGGGGAGTCATACAAAAGTTGAAGCAGCAGTAAGCACCATGTCTGCAGTGATTTTGTCGCTTAAAATCTCCTGTGAGAGTTCACGGAATGTAAGGGAAATGCGCCGTTCATGAACGTGGACAGGACGAATCCCGTGCATCCACTTATATCGGCAGTCCCCAGACATTAAGAAAAAAGAGCGTTGCGGAAAGAAAACGTCGCAGCTGTCGCCCTCTGGATTTACAAACGTCATAGCACAGTTCGCATTCAAGTTGAGCCCAGCAATGCGGTCACCCCACAGCCATGTGTCATCGACGTGGGGATCGAAGTTGCTCAAATTGCCTTCGCAATACTCGAGCGCAGAGACTTCGGCGACGTTGTATGGTACTCCGGTGCACTTTTCAACCGCTGCACTAATTGCGGAAAATACAGGTTTGAAAGCGAGCGGCATCATCGGCATCTCGGCAGCCTTCACCTTTTTCTTCTTGAAATTACGCCTAGGGCCGTAATCCTGCTTGCGCCGGCCGCTCTGTGAGTCTTTCCAGGGCGGAAAAGGCGACGGATTATCCAAAAACTCGATCAGTTTCGTCTCTTCCTCTTGTGTTAAGATGTTTTCAAAAACAAACAAGCCGTCAATACGAAGGCTAGAGGACTGAAGTTCGATGTGCTCAGCGCACATCGTTAGCGGCACCTCGGAGACAAACACTTCCATGCACATTGGGCAACAACTGTACTTGCTCCTTCCAAGGGTGGCAAAAGAACACGATGAGAGACGTTCCTCCTTACTCTGCTTGTCGATAACAGCCTGTGCGGTGGACAGTGGCACCGCACCGCTGAACAAACTCTGGACCCGCTGCGTGTTGCGGCACTTGGCGCAGAACCGAATACCTGTGCAATTGCACGCGCCCGTTGTGCTACTTGCCTCATTTGAGAGGGTTTCTTGCATCGATTGATAGCTGCATATGTGCATATGAATCTTTCCCTTTTCTGTAACGGTCTGAGATGAAGAAAAGAAGAACAAGAGCAGAGAAATTAAACCAAAAAGTCGAAGCTCATAAGTATATAGATCTCTATTTAACTCTTGAAATGGTATAGACGCTGAAAGAACAAGTCTTTCGCCGTTCACGAATACAATGCCCTACGAAACAGTAAGAAGAAGACAAAAAAGAAACCCATCTTGCTACTAATTTCGTTTCGATCTGGGGAACACACACGTCACTTTCCGCCGCATATCTTAAAATCATCCAAGAAGAGTTTCAGTAACGCCGTTTACAACCGAAAAGATAGTCGTTGTTGTTGCCTTCGGTTTCTCGAACAAATCGATACTATGCTCGTGTCATAGAAATAAAGAACGAAGATACCTAACGGTATTCGGTCAGAAAAGTAAACAACACAATGTTTTATTGGGAGGTGATGAAATAAAGAAAAATGAGAAAACATATGAATAACGTAACGAAGAGCATTTTCTATTTTGAGTGGCGCGCTACGTCCCAAAACAAAAGAAGAACGAAATACTTTTGTTGTTTTCTGGAGGGGTTTTTTGTCATCCGCTACAGATAACTATGCTGCTCGATTCATGGTTTCTCCGCGGCCATCTTGTGGAGAATCTCAATGGTGTCCTTGTACGTCTTCACGGAGTGACCGATCGTACGGGAGTCGTTGAAGATCTCGTAGTCGTTTCCGCCAGCACTGGTCTTGTCACCAAAGAAATGGATATGCTCGTACTCCTTCTCCACAAACTGGAGGCAGTACGTTTTGTCCCAGCCCTTCGGGAACACATCGAAGCTGATCTGGCCACCGATGGAGTACGCCAGCGGGTAATCAGGGAAGGTGGCCTTCAGGTCCTCAATCAGCTTCTCACGGATGTGGTGCTGCTTGTCGTACTGTTCAAAGTCGTCGCGCTCTTCCTGCAAGCAGTTGCGACCGATCGGAGAAATGTTGAACATGCCATTGCGGAACTCCACGAATGTGCCACGCTGCACGGGAATGTCCAAGGCTGCGATGAGCACAAGACAGCGCTTTACAAACGCCATGACCTTGTCGTTGCCGAGAAACTTCAGCAGGCTGTTACGGTGGAACTCCTTGCCCTTGTGGAAGGACAGGAGGCCGTTTTCAGAGAAGACGTAGTCGAAGTCGTCCAGGATGGACTCTCCCAGCTGCTCCTTCTGTTTGGCAAAATCAGAACCACCAACAACGCCGAGGGTGTAGCCAGCGGCATGAACCTTCTTCAGTGCCTGTTTCATGTCGTCGGTTTCCTTCTTGCGCGGCGGTGTGAGGGTGCCGTCCACGTCGAAGAGAAGAATAGTCTTGCTGGGCATCTTGCTTTTGAGGTTGAACAAAACACAGATGGTATGAAAAAAAAAATGATTCCTTTGTTCGTTGTTTGGGAGAAAGAGGAAGGTGCGTTAAACCTGGTTGCAATGAATTCACCGCCGTAGCAGATTGCGTAGAAAAAGGAGAAGAGAAAAAGTGTGGGATGACATCATCATGCAAAGGACTGCGAGAGAAAGTTCCTGTTCTCTGATGGCGTGACTCAGTACGGGTGATCACAATGTAAGCAAACGAGTGAAATATGCAGTATTTCCAAGAAAAACTTCTCAGCTTTCATTCACTTTATCGAATCGCAGAAATTAGGGAGTAAGAATGAATGAGGTTTTCTTGGTGCAAGTACTGGTGTCCACTTTTTTCATACCATGGCATCCGCAGAGTTGGAAGGGAAAACGCTGCACATTCAGATCAGGTTTGCAGAATTACCGAAGAGCTGTCCTAAAAACACTTTTTGTTGCAACAGCAAGAAAAACTCAAAACTGTTTTCACCTCTTCCCGGCGCGTGCAACGGATACCCAAGGACATTGATGAAAGGGAGAAACCCCATTCCGGGAGGTGGAAGGGATTTGAGAGGGACAACTCCGCTTCGCTGATCACCAAATCAGACCGACAAGCACTACCGCAGTCCATGAGGGCTGCTTCCTGTTAGTACCGAAGGAGAACGGTGGGGGGGGGGGGAGTAAAAGGCAAGATGGAGGAATAGGTGGGCATTCGGAACAAACACAATCCCAATAAGGGCACGATGCTTGCATTTTTTAATTTTTTTCTCCCAATGATAAACAACGTAACGTCGGTTGGCCAATTACTGTTTTCATCGGCTAGTTCTTCACACTGTAATTTTCGCTTGTAGGTGTTTTCCTTTCTGGCGGCACAACGGCACAGCGGGTCGGAATACGTTCTCATGACCAAAATAGTAAGGATGATGAAAAACAATCTACCGGAATATAAATATATATAAATATATATATATATATATATATATATTTGAGCAATTGTTCAATTATCGGGAAAGTGGTGTGCCTTTCCCATTACTCGCAGAAATGACTTAACACTATCCCCATATGAGTGAGTAGCGTTCTCTGTGTCTCTGTGTCTCTCCGCCGCCTGATTGCTAATTTAGTGATTGAAAACTGTGCTCCTCAACGGCATACAAATCAAGATGTTATCGAAGCATTTGTAAACTCTACGTATTCAATGAACCAAACTCGACTTTTGGGAGGTCACCGTTCAGGAGATCTCAAAAGAGAAATTTTCGCTCTTGCGTTATAAGTACGGAAGCGGGGTTTATCACAAATACCGCAATGCAATTTACTCAAGTAGATTTATGTTGTTACTTGACTTGCGTTTTTAATAGCAGTTTTACCAAATGATGTTACTCTCCTTGCTTTTTGTCTCTTCTCTCTTTCAAACTGTTGTGTTTTCACCGCCAATACGTATATCTAGACATCATTAGTATATTGCTGTTTATTAGCGATGGGGCAATCATCAAGCTCCACAACCGAACCTGATAAAGAACAGGCTTCGACGGACCAAAACGCAACGTTACGAAGAGAAACAGCACAACGTGCTCCGGTGCAACGACCTGCTCCGATCATCTGTGGGGTTTCGGAATCCGAAATGCAAAAGTTGGCGCTCACAGATGAAATTGGCACATTGATCACAGATAACCTCCCGATGTCCTGCAAAGGAAGCAACCTCGGTTTTCCTGTCAAGTGGTATTTGCTTTACAGCAGCGATATAAACGGAAAGTCGTTCCAGCGCTTGGTGCAACATATTGTATCCCGGGGCCCTACCGTTTTAATTGTGAAGTTGAAAAACAGTGCACGTGTAATAGGAGCGTTCTGTGAAAGCGACTGGCTCACCGTGGCGGAGCGTGAAAAAGCGGCGAAAAGCGCTGCTGCCGCGTCTGCGCGCGCGCTTCGTGAAGGCCAGGCGCAACGTCGAAAAGTTGAGTCAAAGAGTAAAAACACCGTGTTCTTTGGCAACGCTAACTGCTTCGTCTTCCGGGTCCATTCAAGCAACAATGATGGCGTCAGCGAAATGGGTGAAATATACAAGTCCAAGCCGTCTATGAATACTAATTTCATGTATTTATTTGATGTTCATCCTTTGGAAGACAAGGTTGGTATTGGTATGGGCGGGCAATCGGGTTATTACGGTTGGTTTATTGACCGCTGGCTGGAAACTGGCACTTGCTACGGATCTCGCTGTACAACTTTCGATTGCCCACGCTTAACGCCCACCGAGACGTGGCAGGTGGACTCAGTGGAGGTGTACGCGGTGAAAAGTGACGTGGTGGAACAGCTGTTGCGGGATGGAAACCAGCTCGTTACCGATGTTTCGTGCGTAAACGGAAACCAAGACAGTAAAGCGGCTCAATTAATTCTAGAACTGAACGGAACGCACCAGTTTAATCGCAACGAGAGACCAGATTGCTAAAATTGAGTTTTGTTTTGTGTGCAGTGCACCGACAAAATTAGCTGACACACATATTCTTTTTTTTCCGTCTTGAAAGCACAATTGCCTTTGATTTTCGTTCCTTTTTTCGTAAAGAAGCTCCTTAATGCCAACGAAACGGTTTTCTATGTGCACAGTAGCATTTTGATAGCTTCACTCCCTCTGGATTTCTGTTATTTGCTGTGATTTTTCTTAACCACTGTCGTTTCGGTGTTTTGCGTACTGCGCTTTGTACACGATAATCGGTTTTCAATCGTTTTTGCTGCTTTTCATTCTTGCAGCGTACAAAACTCAAGAACTTTGCACAAAGGAGATTGATATTCAGAAGACTAGTTTTTACGAAAGGATTTTTTGCTGTAGAACTGCTATCTCTGAACTGATGAATTCTTTCGATTATAGGTATGCAGTGTTATTTTCTTTCCTTCTCTCTGTATTGAAGTTTAGATTTTCTGTTGGCCGCATTTATTCCTCTTGTGACTTTCTTTTTTTCCCCTGTGCGATAAGTATCTAATGTATCACGGGTTTCACGTACTGCTTCATTTTCAGGAGAGAATTCGTACAAATATTTTCCATGACGCTTTTCACCACGGTGCCTACGCTCCATGCTCTTTTGCGCAACTTTTACGCTGAGATTTTTTTCGTTCTTAATTTTGGCTTCTTTGGTAGGTGTCTTGCTGCGCAGGTCGGATGCTAAACGTTTTTTTTTTCTGTTGTTGAGTGTACGCAAATAAAAGCTGCAATCTCACTGCCAAAAATCTTGGTGAACATTCTCATTGCCTAAAAGGAAGAAAAGGTCTTTTTCGCGTAAGTATTGCTCCAATTCACCGCAAGGAAAAACACTGAGGAGGCGAGCTTCAAAAACATGGGATAATGACTAAAAAGAAACGAAGCTACCTTTTTTTTTTTGTAGTTTTAAGAGAAATAGTATTGCGAAACTCAAAACTCGTCTTTTCGCCTCCTTTTTAGGGTGTTTTGTGTTTGTTCAATGTGGTTGTTGTGCTCTGGGAGAACGAAGTAAAACCGAATTAGACGCTTCTCAATGGTACTCTGGTTTTTAACCACCATGTACCTAGTATTTCTTTACGTTTCCCTTTATTACTTGTTGCACTTTGCAATGCTGCTTTGTAGTTGTTTGACCTTCAGAATAAAACGCCAGGGAGAAAACGGTTTCGAGCATGGAAGACTTTGGCTTCTTTTCTGGTAAATGCTTTCGTTTCCGACGGAAAGACAATAATTCGAGAGAAAATCAGGTGCGCTAATTAGAGTCAAAATATGACTGCATGTGGAAGCGTAAGTTGCATGTTAACAGGTATGTCATGTAAAATGCAGAGTACCGTTTTGGTGTTTATGCGATGATCGTGACAGTTTATGAATCAATTTCTCCTCTCTCTTTCTGTTGCTGAGTTATGAGATGTTCTGATTTATTATTATTTCTCTTAGAAAAAAAAAAACCGTCACAGCACTATCGTTAAAGAGGGAAAAAAACGCTCGATAGAGTAAATTCTTTTTTCTTCTTTAAGCAGCGATTTCTTTGTTGTTTTACCGAATTTTTAGGCACATGTCTCAACTGTCGCTTAGTGATCCGAATGAAGATGCCAGCTCTGTGAGTTTCACTTATCCGTTCTTGGAGGGCATCGACCCCGGTGCCCCTCCAGCCACAATAACCATTCCTAACAAGTATCTGGATGCCATGGCCAACATGGAACGCCAATACTGGGATATCAAATCAAAGCACTACAACGTCATGATTTTCTTCAAGAAAGGCAAGTTCTACGAATTATATGACTACGACGCAGTAATCGCAAATCGAGAATTCGGATTGAAAATGGTGTTAGATACTACGAACCGTGGAAAGATGCGTCTCGCAGGTGTTCCAGAGCAAAGCCTGATGGAATGGGCGCGATTGTTCGTGTTTCGCGGGTACAAGGTAGGCCGAGTAGAACAAATGAAAGAGAGTGAAGGGGAGACATCGGGCGTGAAGTTGAAAGTGATGCCCCGAGAGTTGATCGAAGTGTTGACACCAGGAACACTCAAAGATCCGGTAATGATATCTGATCACGGAGAGCTATTTGTTCTCGCGCTCGTCCCTGTGCGAGACGCAGATGAGGTCACCATTGATGCATTTGCAGTCGATCTTTCGCGCCGCGTTGCGTTACGATGCAAATGCTTCTCTGTCCAAAATACGACGGGCGCGGAACAACGAGCAGTCAACTCTACCTCTGCTTGCAAATTAGAAAAAGATGGAGACGCAACGCTGAAAGATACTACACTACGTGCGTTGAGCGCGCTGTTGCAGCAGCTGGATCCTAAGGAGGTGATTATGCCGGAGCCGGGCTGGGCTTCGCCGAGTAACGGAGATGCGTGGTGTTTCCGCGAGGCGAGCGAAACGGTATTAAAATGGGTCGCAAGCGAGGGCTATGTGGTGGAAAAGATACCCCAGACATCTTCAGCTGACGGGACAAAAGACTGCATTCTTGCGGAAGATGTCATGATAAGCTACTTTACATCACTGCGCCTCAGCAATGAAATTACACTTTTCCAAGAGGCCACCGTTTATACTGCTCATCTGACCAATATGGCGGACAACGGTGTATCTTCGAATGACAGTGCGGACACGGCAGACCGGACGACAGGACGAACGACTTCGCTGCTTGATTACGAGCGTCGGTTTGACAAAGGCCTCATTCTGGACGCGGCAACTGTGAGCAACTTGGAAGTTCTGACAAATTTGCACGACGGAACAGCGAAACACTCGCTGCAAGAGTGCCTTAATCACTGCAGGACGAATGGCGGCCGACGCCTCTTCCGGTCGTGGCTCCTGCGTCCATCGTCGAATGCGCGCGTCATTGAGGCCCGCCAGGCGGCCGCGCGCTTTTGCGCGCACTTTAAGCTTACCAGCTCGCTTTGTGAGGTGGACGAGCCGCAACAAATCGGGGAGAAGCGATCGCGTTCTGGCGAGTCGCCTGACGCTTTTTCTGCCGTTGCTTCCGTCGACTTTGAGCGCTTCCTTTCCCGCCTGTCGGATATGAAGCAGAACGACAGCCAGCACATCTCGTACGTTGATCCCATGATTCAATATAAGAAGAACCTCGGCATAATTCTGTCAACCGTGCACGCACTGCGCGCGATGGTGAAATGGGGACAGCAGTTTTTGGCGCGGTGCCGCGAGGTGGCCTCTGAGCAAGGGATGAGCATTCCGCCGTTGCTTGCGGAGCACCTGGAAAACATCGTCGCGGCCGAGACGAGCACGCGCGTGATTGAAAGTTTGTTCGACCACGAGGCTGCTGAGGAAACTGGGTTGCTCATTCCGTCTCCTGGGACTTCTAGCATGTACGACGCAGCAGCGGAAACGTTGAAACAAATCGAGTCGAAACTGCACGATGTACGCCGGCAAATGCAGCACGATGTTTTTGGTGGGGCGCAAGTGCACTTCTCCGATTTAGGGAAAGATTTGTTTCTGGTCGAAGTCTCCGTCGCCGATGCTCCGAAGATGACTCCGCGTGGCCTGGTGGAGCGGGCGCGCAGCTCGCGGAGCGTTAAGTACGTCGTTTCAGCGATTGAGAGTCTGGTGGAGGCCCATAAAGAGGCCACGGCATCGAAGGCCGGCGCACTGCTCACGGTGCTGTGCCAGGTGGCGGGACGCATCTGTGACGAGTTTCCGCGCCTCTTCACAGCCAGCAGCTCGCTCTCCTACGTCGACTGCTTGCTCAACCTCGCAGCGTGGCAGCAGTGTTTTCCTACAACGTGCTACCCCCAAATCGTCGCGCAGAACGGCCCGCAGAACAAGGTGGCTGAGGTGCGCGGGTGCGACCTCGTGCATCCGCTCTTGGCTTCGCAGAACCCAGTGCCGAACACCGTATGCCTTGACAACAAGGAGGGCCGCGTGCTGCTTCTCACTGGACCGAACATGGCAGGAAAAAGTACGTTAATGCGCACAGTGGCCATTAACGTCCTGCTCGCGCAGCTGGGTGGACCGGTGCTGGGCACGCGAATGGAGCTGGCCCCGGTAGATCGCATCTTCACCCGCATCGGTGCCCGGGATGCGTCGCACAAAGGCCAGAGCACCCTCTACGTGGAGCTCAGTGAGACAGCGGAGATTCTGCTTTGCGCGACGGCGCAAAGCCTGTGCCTTGTCGACGAACTGGGACGCGGCACATCCACGCACGACGGCATGGCCATCGCGTACGCCACCCTGCACGCGCTAACCGAAGCACCGCTGGCGGCGCCGCTGGCCATCTTCTCCACCCACTACCACGCACTGGCTATGGAGCAGACGCGCATCAGCTGTGCGGCGACCGCGCAGACACACGCGCCGACGGTGCAGATGGGCTACATGGACTTTGTGCTCAAGTCGGAGGCACCGCCATCCGTCGCCGCTGCTGCTGCGACGTCCAGCACGATCCCAGGCGATCCTTTTGGTAATGATAACAGTGAAAACGCCAGCCGCAGCTGCGCCCCGGCCTCTGCGCTGACGAGCGTGGTTTTTCTGTACCGCCTTGTGCCCGGTATCTGCGCTCGCAGCTACGGTGTGGAGGTGGCACTCATGGCGGGCATCCCAGCCTCGTTAGTGCATCTGGCCAAATCGAAGTCCGACTCGCTCTCGCGTAACACAGCTTTTCATGAGGATTTGCGCAGTCTTTTGAAGCTCACGCATCTCTAACTTGCACACGCACGCCGCTGCTCGTTTTTTTTTCTTCCTTTCCTTTCCTTTCCTCGTTTATTTGCATTCTCTTGTAAAAGTCAAAGTATCCACGTGGCTTCCGCAACGCATTTTTTTTTTGGAAAGGGTTTTCCCATAGAACTAAGCACAACCATAGATTTCATCAGCTGCTTTTATAGCTCTTATCACTTTGTACTCTTCTTGCGTTTCATCCGCTTGCTCTCAAAGGAAACTGCTGCTTAGCCTCTGGCGGTGGTCAGCCGCGAGCTTGAAAATTGGCAGCGAAGAAATTATCCACCCCCTTTTTAACAAACAGAGCAATGGCCCTTCGAGGAAAAGATGGGCAAGCCAGTGATGTGTTAATTTCGCGTGTACAAGAACGAGAAATGAACATAGATAAAAAATAAGAGAAAAGGAGGCAATGAAGGTTTCCTGTGTTGTTTGTTTTGCACACACGGCTAAGTGACTAAATACACGCTGTGCTCTAACATGAGCGCAGCAGAACTACTGTAAGTCTTACATTTCACCTTGCTCTCTTTTTTGTCCCTCCGCAAATAGTATGAAGAGACTTTTTTTCTCGGTGTGCTCCTGACGGTCGCTGGCGTTTAGCAACAACACACACACACAGGCACACGGCAAAAAAAAAAAGAGCTACCTCGACCTTCAGGGCTGTTTCTCCCATGTGGGCCTCGCGATTAGCGCACCCAAAGACGACTGACGTGTTTTTTTCCCCCTAGGTCTCTAATTCTTCAGTTGTTGAATGGGGCAGTTAGTTCGTTCCGCATGATTTCATCGTTCGTTGCATTGCGTGTACGCGTGGCTCTTCTGTTTGCAGTGCGTTTGCTGTGAGTTATGCAAACGGACTTTCTACGGTGCACACCAACAAAAGCTTTCGCGAGAAATTCAGTGTCTGTCACTTGCACTGCCATGTACTTCCTTGTATCTTCTCGCTGTTCTACTGCCCCTCTCCTCCTTTTTTTTTTCAAACCGTAATTGACCACATTATTCCACGCCTTTTCCTTCCTAACTGGCGAACTTTTTCGTGCGTATCCGTGTCCACTTCTCCCACGTCACTTCTGTGCAGCTTTAGCTTTTCTTTTCTCTATACTCCGGTTTTCTCTCCCTGCATAGGAAAAAAGAAAATAAGTTAATTACTGTTTTTTAAAACTGTTAGCTGCCAAGGTTTTTTTTTCTCACGAAACAAGAACCATTCTTTCAAGTACAATTGAACATCGAGATTCCATCGTCCAGAACAGCGCCAAAAAAGAAAAGGAAAATGACATCTTCCTCTGTGACGCAGGAGCACCCCTCGCACGCCGCGTGGTATAAGTTCGGTTTCAAGTCCTTCGCGGAGTTCAACACGTATGTCACGTTCGTGTTTCTAGGCATGTCCATCATGATGGTGGCCAGTGCCGTCACTTCCGCTCCCGACTTCCTGACTAGGTACTACGTGTACGCCACGGGTATCCCGAATGCCGACGCAGAGACGCCCCTCTTCTGGAACAACGCCAACACCTTCTACAACGCCGGTACCTACGCAACACAGGTGCTCACGGAGTTCTTATCCCTGACTCCGTTCATGCGTCGCATTCCTCTGTCGGTCCGTCTGTTCGTCGGTCTGGGCATCCCGTTCGTGGAGCTGCTCGTCATCATCATCGTCCCCACCGCCACCATCTCGACACAGCACGGCGCCATTGCCGTGATCATGGTCGTGGCCACCGTCGGCGGCTTCTCCAAGGCGCTGTGCGACTCCTGCACGAACGCGCTCGTGGGTCCCTTCCCGACCAAGTTCATGAACGGCGCGCAGTGGGGCCTGACCGTAATCGCACTGCTTATGTCAATCATTCAGATCATTCTGAAGGCCTCGATGGGCACCTCGTTCCACGACATTATGACCATGTCCCGCATCTACTTCGGCATCTGCATCGGCATTCAGATCGTCACCATTTTCGAGCTCGTGATTCTCCGCTTTAACCCGTTCGCGCAGAAGTACATCGCCGAGTACCGCGCTCGTACTCAGAAGGAGGACAGCACCGAAGGCGTGATGGGGGAGACTCTGCCGAGCGTCAACGAGCCGGCGATCGGCGATCTCGCCGAGGTGCCATGCACGACCGCCGACAAGGAGCGTGCTCTCAACGAGGACGAGCACGACGAGGTGCGCGCGGTTGCCAATGAGGAGTTCCACGTGAAGCAAGCCGCCGTGCTCCGGGCCAAGGGCGATGCGGATAAGATGGTGGATCTCGACCAGACTGGCAACATCACCTCCACGGAGCAAATGCTGCGTGCGTCGGCCCTGTCGGTGTTCAAGCGCGTCTACCCGATGTTGCTGTGCGTCTTCCTGGTTTACTTCACCTCCCTGCTCATCTTCCCCGGCGTGTTCTTCCTCGTGAAGACCAACGACGGCTGGTACATGACGTTGATCATCACCCTCTTCAACCTCGGCGACTTTGTCTCCCGCATGCTCCTCATGTTCCGCCCGCTGCGCCCGTCCCCGACGATGGTCATTGGCGGCACCCTCGGCCGCCTCATCATCATCCCGTTCCTCGTCCTGTGCGTGCGCGGCATCATCAGCGGTGTGGCACTGCCGTACGTGCTGATGACGCTGGTGGGCCTGACCAACGGCTACTTCGGCTGCATGGCCTGCATCCACTGCCCTCGCACAACGACGCTGCGCTACGCCGGTGAGCGCTCGCTCGCTGCCATGCTGTCGGGTATTGCGATCATGCTCGGTCTGTGCTTCGGCTCCAATCTCTCTCTTGCCATCACTCTCACCCACTAAAATTGAAAGGGAAAAGCTAGGAGAAAGCAATTGCAGCGAAGCCACTGCGCGCCATAGAATTGTTTTTTCCCACTTAGTGAGAACATTAAAAAATATATATAATAGGTTCGTCGGTTTCATGCGTCTCCGTAAAGTGATTCTCTCTGTGAACGAAGGAGAAGATGTTCTCCGAAAAAAAAAGACCCTGAGTAAAATACGCGGCGCCTCCGCGTCCCGATTTTTTTTCTTTGTTCTATGTTTCGTCTCGTGTAATGGGTTTTCTTTTTTCTTTAATTGCCGAACGTACGTGATAGAGAGAGCGCGCGAGATGCTTTTGCATGGAGGAGAACCAAACCTACAGCGATGTGGGTCCTCCGCACCTTATTCGTCCTTTACCTACGTGAATTCAGTTTGCAAGCAGAAAGAGAAAGAGCTCCACGCGTTGAAGGCGTACCGGAACCTCTTTTGTTTTCTGTGAGAACTTTTCATCTGTTAAAGGACTTTTTTTCTTAATTTTCTTCCGCCTCGTACCGCTCTACCTTTATCACAGGCATACATTCGATCACCCTTTTTTTTTTCTTTTCCTTCCTCTCAAACGCCGAATTCGACCAAGCTGCGCTCCGAACAGGTGTTGGGTTTAATTGCACGTAAGTGTAGTGTTCCTCGTTAAACACCAAAACGGCGAAAGGTCAAACGGAGTGCAACTTGATTTTTGCTTTTCCCAGTCGTCGTTCCTTTTTATCACGACGACGGAATCAAAAAGAAAAACAGCAACAAAAACATAAACATCCGAGTGATAAAGACTGAAGTCGAGAAAATCGACCTCTCTCCAGGCGATTCGCGCGTCATTTTTCTTCTTCCTGAACCGTTCCTCGATCTCATTATGACGTACAAAGTGACTCGTTTTTTTTTTCCCTCTACTCAATATTTCACCTTTTTTAAAAGTTGTGTTCTATTCATCTTTTTTTTTCCCCGGGGGACAGCTTTAAGTTAAGTAGTAATCCTTAATCGGCGCTAGGAGGTAGAGCCAAATCCAGCTGAAAATAGGCGAAGCTCCTGGCGGAAATATCTGAAAAAAGAAAATATAACAAAAAGCTGCACGTGCTTAGGACAAGTGCATCTGCAGTCATAGATGGTGATCAGCACTTTGTGCTAGTGCCGTAAAGGGTGTCTTTTTGTTTTCGCGACTTGCATCACTTTAACCCTGGTCCTTTTTTTTGTGAGCCTGCGAGGGGAATGGAAGGGACGGAAAAAATGAGTTGAATGTGATTGGCAGCGGAGAGATTGGCGGATCTCGGTCATTTAGGGTAATGCTCTAAACTATCTTCTCCTTTTCTAGTACCTCCTGAATCCTGGTTCTTCCGTATTTTGGTTTGCCTGGCACAGTTGTTTTCAGCATCGAGAGAAACTCCGGTTTTTCGCTGAAATCCACCCGCCCACCCCCGGTCCCTCCCACAACAGGGACCCATGGGATCCTTAAAAAGATCCATGAGTTTTGTTTTCCTTGCACTTCGTAATGCGATACTCTCTGAGAAAAAGTCCGACGACAAACACGACAGGTAAAGAAGAACGGAATTGGGGCAGATACTAGATAGTGAAGAAACAATGAGTAGCCTTGATGGGGACATTGATGCCAGGTACTCGCTAGTTATGTATTTCCCTAAATGCCGTGCAATCACTTCCACTCTTGACTTCCTATCCTTCTTATTCTCTTTAACGTTTCCTTTTGCTCTGCTCAAGTGGAGTGCGCTATTCTCGCTCTCTTCTTTTATTTTCGAAACTTAAAATCCGAGGCAGATAGCTGAGTAGACCAAAGCGGAAAATAGCAAAAGTAACTTCTTTTTTTTTCTTTTTGCTCAGTTGATGGCTTTCGCCTTTCCGGTGATTTTTTTTTTGATTTCGTTTTCTTTTTGTATCTCTGACGGTGATGTACAGCCCTTCTCTTCCGCTTGTGAGTCCGTTTTCCATTGAAGTCATCCCTAACGCGGTACAGTTGTATTGCTTACGTTGAACCTTCTCTACTTGACCATAACTTTCTAGTCAAATCCAAAGTGAAAGTGTCACCATTTCACTCGTAGTTGATCCTATTCTTCTTTTGTATACACAATTGCCCTCCGAGTCACGTTTGCTTTTTAAAAAATATTATCTTCGCTCCCTCAATCCTTTTCTGGTGTATAAATGGTTTCCTTCATCTTGAAAATTGAGACAGGGTCAAGTGAAGTTGTTTTTACCGGAAATAAAAAGACAATTGAAGTGGACAGGATAATAAAAAGAAAAATAAAAGGGGGTCGGAAATGTGAGGCTACAAGGCCATGGGTTCATTTACTCGTGTTGATGTAGTGAACTCTTCTCTACTTTGACATGGGTTGCTAATCGGTGAAAAAAAAAAAACACAGAAACGCACACACAGATATACACTCAGCAACGACCTTTTGTTGGGGGCATGTTTGACCTTGAAACGGTACCGCCCGATTGAATCCAAATTGGCCTCCGGTTTGTGGGCTGAAAGGAGGCAACGGCGCAAACAGAGCCATTCGACAAGGGAACACTTGTTTCCGCTTCTTCACTGCGAATGTGAGTAAGTTCGCGATGCTATCATCGTTTCACTTTGTGAGCGGCTGGGCGTTGCCTGCGTGTCGCAGCGCCATCACAACAGCGGAAGTGCGACAACAAGAGGGTTCAGTGGAGCTCTTCCTTCTTCCCGACATTAAAATCGTCTTTCTTTTTGTTCTTACTGCTGTTACCTCTGTCGCTATCGACAGCTACAGAAGTAATCTATTGCTATGCAAACCGTCTTCCCACCCCCTTTCTTTCATCACGTTAGTCTTTCAATCTCTGTCTGCGCACCATCAAAACTCGCGAAGGTTAAAGCAACGTTCGCTTCCTCGTTGCGCTTCGATCCACGAGCTTGCGAAGAGAGGTCACGGTCTGCGCCGGGGCGGCAAGGGATCGAGCGACTGCCGGCTTCACTTCACGAGCTTCCACGCATTTCATACTTGTTGATTTCTCCGCACGCAGCGTTGGCAGAGCGCAAGGTACGATTTCTGCTCTTCGTTTTCACACGTACACACCCTTTTCCTTTTTCTGTGCGTGCGCGTCGTTTGCTGCACCTTCACGATGGGACTGGCGCTGTGCCACTCCCTCCCGCGCGACGTAGCGGTGCAGGTGTGTCTGCTTTTGTTTTTGGTCGCCCTGATCCTTCAAGCTGCTGCGATCGGCCTGCACACTCGAAACGACGGTGGTGGTTACTTTACCCTGAAAGGCACGTCTTCGGCGAGGTCGAACGCGTTGGTGCTGCTGGCGGCGCACCCCGCCACTTACATCCCACCCTCCTCGGTGCTGAACACCGGCACGGGCACCGCGGCGACAAAGCTGTGCAACCCATCCGCTGCCGTCCTCACCTACTCGTGCGCACGCTTTGCCGAGTCGTTTCACGTCGTGAACGGCCTCACCCTCAGCAGCTTCATCACCAACGCCATCACCCTCGTGCTGAGTGTGTTTGTGCTGGTTCGACTGAGCCACTCCACGCAGGGCTTGCTCTTCCGACTCATGTACGCGACTTGCGGGCCGGTGGTGCTGCAATGCGCGGCGGTCGGCTGCTTCTTTGCGCGCACCGTCCCGCACGCCCGTCGCGACACGGCCGCTGCGGCTGGGTACGGTGACGGCCAGATCAAGTTCCACCGGCGCCCCGCGACGAACCTCATGATCGCTGCCACGGCTCTCCTGTGCGCCGGGTTCGTGATTGTGTTTTCGCGGTGGGTGTCGGTCATTTGCCTGCGACTTCACTTCGAGGAACACAAGGAGCACACGAAGGAGGAGGTGGAGCAGATGACGAAGGCGCACATGGTGAATGACGACTGGACGCGACAGAAGCAGATTTTGCTCTCCCACGCGCGGAGTGTGCAGGTCGAGATGGCGGTCAAGAACCCCCACAAGGGCGACCGCTTTTCTGCCTCGGCGACAGCGCGGAGCGGCGAGCCTTTTCCGTCGCAATCGATCGACACCGGTGTGAGGGCCCACCGACCTGGTGGCCTCTCCGACGAGGAGCCAGACGCGGGCACGTTGCACTTCCGTGCCGCCTCCTCGGTCACGCCGCTTACTGGTCACGCCAGCCCTGGCCGTGGTGCAGCCGCGAGCTCTAGTGGAAGAAAAGGCTCTACTGCTTTCGAGGATGCGGATGGGCGGACAAGCGGCATAGACCAAATGCCCCCTCCACCGCTCACCCAAGCCGGTGAGGGCAACGAGGTGGTGATGTCTACCAACGACACCCACCCTTTCAGCGAAGCGGAGGCGTACGACACGCGTCACGGCGACTCCGACCCACTCACTCGATAGGAGACGAGGCCAGAAGGGTGCGAGGTAAATTGAAAATGACGAACGGCTACTTACCTTTTCTGGCTTTGCCTTAGCAAGAGAGAGAGCTGTGTTGCCACCTTGCCACCTTACCAACGCTGCGGCTTCTTCTCGGTGCCTCTCATTTTTTAACTATTTACTCTGCAGTTCGTATTCTTTGGTTGGTTGGAGCACCGTTGTTGCTGACGACACGGTGTGGCGCTTTTGGAGAGCGGGTTGACTCTCTCCCAGCTGCTGCTTCCTTCGCAGCAGCTCAGCGAAGAAGAAAGAACAATAACAAATAAAAACTGTATCAATGCACTTATTGATAAAAATGTGTTTGGGCATTCTTTCCTTTATTTGGTGCAACGACAGCTGCTGTGCTACTCAGGTGAAACGTCTAAAGCCAACCGAGCTTTCACAGTTTACTGACAACTTCTGTCTTTGACTTTCCTTTGATCGAAATCACGTACTTGCTTTCCGAAGGACCTGTGTTGACAACAAAAACGCACCCTGTACAGCAACAGAATTCGTTGACTAGCGACGTTCAACGCTTTCTCTCTCTCCTGCCTTCAACCTCATCAACACCGACGTACACACTCACCATTTCATCTTTTTTTTTCTGCTTCTGCAATCCTTCAACGGGACGCACGGTAAGGTCTTTTTTTTTTCAAAAGAAAAGAGACGCATCACATCAAATTTCTTGCCGGGAGAACATTTCCTGTTTTCTCCATTCCACCCCGCTAAGAACACCTTCTGCTCCATCGTTTCTTCCGACGCAAAGGAACACCATCTCGAAAAAAAAACACGCATCCGGTCCTGGCTGCTTGCTGCTGTTTGGTGTACTCACGGCTGCTCTTCTTGCTTTACGATTGCGCGCTCTGAGGACCTTTTCTACAGTTATTCGGCCGCTCTTTTTTTTTTTGGTACCTCTTTTTTCCTTTCCAAGAGTATCAACGACGGCCAATCCGACGATGACGTCCACTGCTGCCCCTGCGGCGGACTTTTCGTGCGCCATCTGCCTCGACACGGCCACCGAACCTGTTGTGACGCGGTGTGGACACCTCTTCTGCTGGGAATGCCTGGACCACTGGCTCCACAGCCCGGCAGGTGTTCCGGAGTGCCCAGTGTGCAAAGGACGCGTGGACGAGCGGATCGCAGGTGACATCATTCCTCTGTATGGTAAAGGAAAACATGCGGCGAATAAGCCAGCAAGCGGGCCTTCTGCAGCTGCTCCGACAGCAGCAACGACCGCGGCGGACCCATCACAAGAGGAGTTTTTTAGTCGACCGAGCGCGTACAGCTTCGCGCCTGCCCGCGAGGCACGCCATGCGCCTGCTGCTTCTCCCGCCGCCTCTGCCGCCGCCACACACGCCGCGCCGCAGACAGAGGATGGGGAGCACCACCCTCGCCCGGCGGCCGATCGCGCGCCGCCGCGGCCACGTCCAGCGCAGCAGTACCAAAACATGCAGATGCACGTGCACAACCCCGGCATGCCGCTCACGGTGGGTAGCAGCGTTTTCTTCTTTGGCGGTGGAGGAGGCATGTTCTTCTCCATCATGCTGATCATCGCGTGGGCTGTGTACAGCTACGCACCATGGCGGCAGTGGAGGGTCGATGTGGAGCGATGGTACAATCATGCGCGTGAGCACCCAGCGTCGGAGGAGCGCCGCGACGATGTGCCGGCGAACACGGCCCCTCCTGCACCGTCTGCCACCAACAGTAACACGAATCAAAGTACTCCTCCTGATGCAGTACCCAGTGAAACCGCCAACGAACTCCCTTCCCTGCAGGTAGTGGCGCGCAATTTGGGTTTTACTGTTCTCGCAATCTTCGTTCTGTTTCAGTTGCTTCTCTTCATGTAAGCGAAGGTTCGCAGAGAAAAAAAGATGAGGGGAGGAAGAATGGAAAAAAAAAACGGATCTGTGACTGGAGGAGAGGGGAAACAGATCTTTTTTTTTGCCTGCACATCTTCTTTTTTTGCCTCTTTACCACAGCTCCCAGTTCATGGGGGGCGTCTTTCCCGTTTCATCTTCCCATTTATCGCAGAAGGTGACCCTCTTCTCCATTCGGTGCGCCGAATCGGCCTCTTGTATTTCTTTCCATTCTGCAATGTAACATTACCTAATTCACACAGCCGCGGATGGGAAGGAGCAAGAGGAACCACGGCGATGGCGGATCAATGAGACGGAGGAGGCGGATTGAGATGAGCAGCTCTTCACACGTTCATTGTGTTTGTCAGTTCTGCTTTCCACGTCGTTGTTTGAGATTTTTTCTTTTCCTTTTTAAAACGTGTGCGTCTTCCTTGGTTGGTGATATTTCTGTTTTCTGCCTTATTCATGCCTTTTTCCTGACTATTCCCCAAAGCAGTGCATGATGGTGCATTTAAATAGAATCGCAACGCAGAGTTGTTGTGCTGTCGTGCAAGGTAAGGGCAGTGCTCTACCCATCAATACATGCAAACTTTTATTTCCAATTGTGGCGATTGCGTTCATTCTTGATTTTTCGCTCCGTGTTTGTTACGCAATGTCGGCTACTGAGGGTTTTTTCTTCTTCTTGCTTTAGTTACAACGTTTACCATTATTTTGAATATTTCAATACCTTTTCGTTCTTCTTTCTCTCGTTTATTCTTCTTTTTTTTTGAGATTTACGACGCTGTATCCTCTTTGGGATTCCCTCTTTTTTTTTTTTGCTTCCTCGACCTTGCGACGTCTGTTGTTCGGCGTTGTGTTGTGCTGCTTCACTTCAGCATGTGCCGTCTTGTCCTTTGCGCCACATATATACATATATATATATATTCGCGTGTGCTGCTGTTGAAGCTTTCCCTCCTCCGCAGAGAAAGAGAAAAAAGTTACCGCACTACTTTGTACATCAGAACGTGCGTTGCAGGTGCCCAGACTGAACTTACTCACCTCGACACGTGAGAGGAAGTAAGCGGTGTGAAGGAATACGGAGAGGAGGAGAGGCTAAAAGTGTTGGGAGCACACGCGCATGGTATACCCGAAGAATTCAGTTTTTTTTATTTATTTGTCTACTGCTGCGCATGACCCCGTTTGTGGAGTCGCAAAGCGAGTTGCTCTCGTCATTATACTAAACGCATGCCAAAAAAAAAGCAGGCGCACAACAACAAAATACAAAGAAAGAGAAGATGGAGTAATGCAAAAATGAAGAAGAAACAAAAAAAAACACGATTATGTATGTTACGTGGATCAGGTGAGAGCAGGCAAACCCATCGACAGCACCGCCGTCTTAATGACATTTGTGTTTAAAGGAATGACGGCGCACTCCTTCAGTGAACTCCAAACACGATCAAAGTGCTCACCTGCGTGAATCGTGAAGCTGTCGAGCATTCATCCTCATCTGTTTTTCCCCTCAATTACGCTTCACCCCGTTCGTTGTCCATCGTCGTTCTGCTAACACCCCTAAAAAAAATAATCTGATGGACCTCAACATCTCTACAACGATCGTACCTTACTTTGGAGTCAGAGCCATTTCTCTTTGGTTTCTTCAAGAACAATGGCGAAGCGCACCGTTAAGATGGGCGTGATGGGCCGCTACGGCACCCGTTACGGCGCCAACCCCCGTAAGCGCGCCAAGAAGCTCGAGGTGTCCCAGCACGCGAAGCACTTCTGCTCCTTCTGCGGCAAGTTCGCGTTCCGCCGCAAGGCTGTCGGCATCTGGCGCTGCGACGGCTGCAGCAAGACGGTGGCCGGTGGCGCGTACACCCTGAGCACCCCCAACAACAGCACCGTCCGCTCCACGGTCCGCCGTCTGCGCGAGCTGGCCAAGATCTAAGGTTGAGGAGAAATGCATGGAAAGGGGCGGGGCAAGGCGGAAAACTGTGCTCGATTTCAGCGAAAGAACGGCGCTCCCTCTCACTGGCAAGACAACCCCGCATTGATACACGGCATGGTGTAGAGTTGTTCTTATTCTCCTGCTCTTCGCTCTGGACTGCCTCTACTTTTTTTTCTGGTTTCTACTTTTCATTTTTCATCAAACCATCGCAAGCCTGCAAACAATCAATCGAAAAGGCCGTTTCGGCGACCAACTCTTTTTTGAATTGAAACGTGATGCGTCTTTCTAAAACAGCACCGTTTTCCTTGTCATCGTCATCATCCAAGTAGGCAAAGTTGGAAATTCTTCTGCTTGGCAAGAAGCTGAGTAAGTTTTTGGCGCATTATTGAAACATCCTCCTGCTACTCTTCTCTTTTCGCCCCCTCCCTTCTCTTTCTTTCCTGTACCGTTGCTCTCGCCAGCTGAGATAGAAAAAAAAAAGATATTTCGTACACTGGTGATTCCTTTGGTGTACTCGACCCAGCCGCGCACGTAGAACACCGAGAGAAGAAGAATCAAGGGTGATCTTGTGTTTTGCAAGCAGGCACGTTTTGCGTCTTGGTGAAACAAACTAAAAAGAGAGTCCAAGCACCACCGATCGCGCTCCTGATAGATTTTTTTTTGGCAACGGGCTTGTTTTTACGTAGACCTTTTTTTTTGGAGTTTGTAGTGCTTCTCTTTTGTAGAAGCTCGCTGCACGAAACCGTCTGGTCAGGCACGGAGCGCAACCCACTTCCGTCCGACACCCCCCACACCCCTGCAAAAGCGTGGAGTGCCACAAATACAGCACAAAAGACGTTTTGAATACAGTAGAATACACAAGGTAGAACGGAATCGAAAGCAAATGAAGGCGACTTCTTACGGCCACGGCGCGTACCATTCTCTCGAAGACCTTCGCGGTGACTGTCTGCACATTTGCGACCCGGATTACAGCGCTGACGCAACGGCGGACTCCGTCGTGAAGCGTGCCGCGACGAACCATCTGAAGGAGGCAAACAACGCTTTTGTCCTCGGCTTCAACGACCTGACCACTTCGGATGGAAACTTCAAGGAGGTGCAGACTGCTACCGATAAGGCAGCGAACCTCGAGAAGGAGCTGGCGGCGCTGCTCAAGGAGAAGGCGCGTCTGCAGGCCACCTGCGATGCGCGCAAGGCCGCCCAAGCTTCCATGCTGACAGCCACTCCAGAGGAGACGGCCGCCTTTGTCCCCTACGCGAAGCAGCTATCGGAGTTTCACGAGCACCTCTCCCTCTGCCACTCCGTTTTCAAGGCGGTGCTGACCAAGAGCGTTGAGGACATTCGCGACGAGAAGCTGAGCCAGCAGGACCAGCGCTTCACCGAACCGCGCTCGTGGGCCATCAAGCGGGACGTGTTGTACCGCTCCCTCGAGGCGCTGCGCAAGCGAACACGTGAGCTTGGCCTCCCGGTGTCGACCTACATGGACGAGGACGAGGATCTCTACCGCGAGGTGAAGGAGCTCGGTGCAGAGGCCGCGGAGCACGTCCGCCAGGGCGAGTCGATGCGTGCCGAGCGCGACGAGAAGCTGAAAGTGTTCTATGCCGAGTGCGCGAAACTGACGGCGTGGTGTCGGCAGCAACTCGTGAACTTAGAGGCGATGCAGGAGCCGGACCACGTGCAGGAGTACTGCGCCACGTTGGTGGAGAATTACCCGACGATGTCGAACAACTTCTCCGTGCTGCTGGATAGCGTGCGTGAGTTTGTCCAGGCCAACATGGCGCCAGTGCACGCGGCGTTGCTGGAGGCAGAGGAGGTGTGGCTCTATCTGCAGGTATCGTCCCTCGAGCGTCTGTCCAAGACGCTGTACGAGATCCACCCGAAGTCTCCGCTCGATGTGGAGGTGGACAAGTACGCGGGCTACCCCGAGCACGCCGCAAAGTTTTTGCAGGACCTCGACCGCTTTGTGCAGGCCCAACGCAACGGTACGGTGGGGGCGAGTGAACTCGACGCGCTGCAGAAGGGCTGCGATGAGGTTCGCACCACCCTCACCGGGGAGTTTGCCGGCCTTCCAAAGGAGGTGCACAGCTTCGCGCAGCGTGCCCACGCGCTCCGACAGGGCTACCAGTGCTTTCGTGAAGCCGTCCTGAGCCGTCTCACGTACATTAGTCCCGCCACCAACGTCGTGGTCGAGTCGAAGCGTCGCCAGGACGAGTTCGAGGACAGCGTGCGGGAGTTGAAGACGTGGGCCGCTGAGGCGTCGCGGGGGGAGTCGTGGCGCGACATCTACAGCAAAATCTCCGAAATTAAGAGCCTGATCAAGAGTGAGCAGGACGCAGTGGCGAACAAGCGGGAGCGCACGATGGGCTCCACGGGTGTCCACACCCCGCGGTCGGCGCGCACGACCCAGCAACTTTGAAACGCAGTGCCGAATCTTTATTCGTGAAGCCGTTACTCTTTGAGAGCAGGAGAGAATCCCTTTTTTTGTGTGTGTGTGTGTGTGAGTGCGTTCCGCGTTGTCAGGCAACACGGGCCGTATCGTTTTACGGGTTTACCAGCGGTTGTTATTTTTTCCCTCTCGGTAGCACATCAAGGGTTGCGCAACGACGATGCAGGGGGAAAAAAGAAGAGAAGGGTCGACTGTTTGAGACGAATGTGAGTGGAGGGGCATCGCAGCTCCCCACTTTGTCCAAGAAGCGCTTGATGCTTTTCGTTATCTGTTCACTTTATCCCCCTCCCCCCCTCTTTCCCTGCGCTCGCATCGCTGCCATTGCGCACACGTTCCAACATAGTGGTGACTTCTTGTTTCTTTTTTTTTGCTTCTCTTCATTTTTTTTTCCTTGTGGGAAAGCAATTTGAGGTCACTTTCTTCGTGAGATACCCAACGTTTGTTACTATTTGGCCCTCTTCTTTTCTGAAAGGGTGCTGCTGCCCCTTGTTTTACCGCCGTGCGGGGCCTTGCCGACTCTTTTTCTTCCGGCTCTATCTCTCTCTCTAGATGGCTAAATTCTGCGCTCTCAGAGTGACGTCATGTCTTCTTCTTTCCTATTCTCTGTACGCAATCGTAAAGTAAAAAACGGGGTGCTGTGCGCGCTTCGTCTAAGAATGACCGGTGCTTCGGTGCGTCTAAAAGAGAAGTCGTTCTCATCTTCCTTTTTCTACATGGCAGAGTTCAGGTGGAGTGCAGCGAGCCAGAAGAACGCGCTTCTGCTTTGCTGCCGCTTCCACCGCCGCCGTTTTGTTCACATTTCTCAAACGTGGAACACGATACGCCGTAGCGGCGCACGTCCCTGGGTGATTTACGGTTTCATCTCCTCTTCTTTTTGTTCTTCTCCCCCTTCTACTTGCCATGTACTTTTTTTTTCTTCTCCCCGAAAGATACTAGCAGGAAGCACACTCGTCTTGTTTCCTTTATCTGTTCCGTGAACCAGGTGCTCACGTGGGTCTGCAGGACACGAAGAAGCAAGAATCTGTTGCTGTAGAGTCAGCAAATTTTTTTTCTGAAAGGTTTATTTTTAAGTTGACTCTTCTTGCCGAAGCAACTTTACCAGCTTTTATTATTGAGCTTTTAGTTTTTGCTGCTCTGCGTTTTCGAACACACGCACCGTCACATCCTCGTGTATTTACATCTCTGCTTCTCCGTTTTATCCATCTACCACTGTCCGTTGAATTTAATACATATTTAAAAGGTTGGCAATGCCCCCCAAACGTGTTGCCGGGAAAGGCAAGGGCGGCGGTGCAGGCGGGGCTGGCGCGGCGGCCGACCCGATGGCGGAACTCCGCAACATGGAGGACATCCACGAGGTGCTCGCCAAAGCGCAGCAGCTGCGCAACTACTTCCAGACGGAGCGCGACAAGGTCAACTCGATGTGGGACATCACGAAGAAGGAGCTGGAGAACTCGCAGTACGGCCTGCAGAACATCGAGAGCGAAATCGAAGAGCTCGAGCGCGATCACCAAGTGGAAATGAAGGTGTACAAGCAGAAGGTGCGCCACTTGCTGTACGATCACCGGGTAGCTGTGAAGCAGCTGAAGGACGAAAGCGACGCCGCACTACGAGGGGCGGAGACGGCGCATCAGCAGCGCATCCAGCAACTGGAGACGGAGCGCCAGCAGCGGATGTCCGGCATGGAAGCGGCTCGCGAATCACAGGAGGGCCACATCATGGAGCAGCGCGACGGGCATCAATACATGCTTACCGTGACGAAGCGCCGCAACCACGAGAAGGAGCTGGCGCGACGGCAAACCGCCTACGAGGCGAAGCTGAGCACGCTGCGCGAGGACCTCGAGCTGCGCCGCCGCGCCGAGATCCAAGACGCGGAGGAACGCTATCACATGCACATCAACGAGCTCATCCGGCAGCACGAGGAGAAGTTTAGCGAGATGAAGAACTACTACAACCACATCACCCAGAACAACCTCGAGATCATCCGCTCACTCAAGGACGAGATTGCGACCATGAAGAAGAACGATGAGCAGAACGAGAGCCTCATGTACGAGATTGAGAAGGAAAACAGCAGTCTCGCCGCCCCGCTCGAGCAAGTCGAAAAGGAGGTGGCGGAGCTGCAGGTCAAGAAGCAGCAGCACATCCAAGATAAGCAGAGTCTGCGCACGTCACGCACGCGCTACAAGGCGCTGCAGCAGCAACTGGACACCCTGCGGCAGGACAAGGAGCTGCTGGAGGAGCAGTACAAGAGCGTGTACAACGAGCGCGAGGACCTGAGAGCCAAGTTTGAATCCGCGTTGCGAGAGGCGATGGACATCGTGGCGGAGCGCAACAACTCGCTGCAGCAAAACCTGGTCGAGGCCCACGCGAAACTGGAGCAGCGCGATGCCCAGCTAGACGGCGTGCTGCGTGCGATGAACCTTGAGCCGGCGGCGATGGAGTTGATTTCCGAAGAGATCGACGACGAAATTCAGGTGAAAAACCAAACCATCAAGGATCTTCACTTCGAGCTGCGCAAACTGGAGAAGAGGGTGAGCGCGATGGTGGAGGAGTACGAGCGCCGCTGCCGCGCCGTTGGCGTCACCCCGTTAGACCGAGCGAGCGTGTTGTGCGTTTGAGAGGCGGCGCCGACATTTGTCTAGGTTGAAACTCAAGGCTCCTCGTAACGGCCGGCGTTTTCCTGGGGTCTTGCTCAAGCCTGGAGTCATTAGCTGAGGTAATCGGGGACGACTTCAAAACCTTGACTGCTCAACGGCTGGTTTCCTTTGAGATGTAAACTATTATTTTTTGTTTCTGTTTGCTGATGCAAAAGCTCTGCGGAGGAAGGAGGAGGGCACATCTGTTTGCCTTTTCTCCTTCTTTTTTTTTGTACACTAAGGCGTTGCCTGACGTTGAAGAGTGCTCTTCACCTGATGAGAAAAAGACTTACACGCCTACCAAAGTAGAAGTGCTCATAGATGATCTGTATTGTGACGCCCTGCTTTCCTACTAGACCCTTGACGTGGCCCCCAAACTGCGGAAGCGGCGTAAAAGTCGCAAAGTAATGGATGCGCGACACGGATTCCGATAAGACATGAATCGCTGCTGCTGCGGCGATCAGCTGCACGCAGTGGATCCGTCAGACTCGAGCGTAGGCCAGCGCCTGTGATGATGAGGATGGTCTCGAGCAGATGACGGGCATAATGACGCATCTATTGTGCCTTCTGTTTCCGTGCGCCGCTTCTTTTTTTTTCTTTCCGATTTTTTTCTTCTCCCACACAGTTGTGCCAGTGCTGTACTTCCCTGACCGAATACCAGTGACTTCATCTTTTTGAATCGATCTGCCGTAATGGAGGAGTCGGAGTTGCTGGCTGCGCAGCCGGCGGCACAGCAGCAACCACAACCGTCTGCCATTAATGTGATGTGCGTTGACGTTCGGGAGCTGCTGCTGCGTGCGGCCGCAGATACAGCGCGCGCCTCTAGTATGCCAGCGCAACTGAAGACAAACGTACCGACGTCGTCTTCAGCGCGACTGCCCTCTGTAAAGCAACAGGGGCAGATGAACTCTGCATGTTCTGCAGATACAGCGGCTGAATCTGCTTTCTGGGTCCCAGGAAGTAGCGCGGACGGCGCTTGTTGTGGTCCGCCACCGCTCTCTCCGGCAGATCCAACCATCCTGCGCGCAATTTTGGAGCGTCCACCGCCGAGTGCCACTGGTGCTGCTGGCGCCGGTGGTGAGGAAGCGGCAACGACGCAGCGAGGTGGATGGCCCGTTCGGCTCCCTCCAGCAACAAAGGCGGCGCGCTCTCACGCAATGCGAGGACAAATGCTTTCTTCTTCCTCTTCATATCAGCGAGAGACGCCACAGCGAGTGTCTCGCAATGCTGCGCATCCACGCCAGAGCTGCACAAGTGTCTCTACCTTTTCTACACAATCGCGTGAGAAGGCACACGCGGAGCCGGAGGAGGCGTATCAAACGACCAGTGGAGTCACCCCGCCGTCTTTTGTTCCGCGCACCACATTCATGGAGGAGAGCGACAGAGCAGAGCTGTCACCGGTCGCACAGCAGGCGCTCAGCAACGTGCTCCGTCGACTACACACACACGCAGCTCAGGTACTAGGAGGCCGCCAGCGGACCGATGAAGTGGCAAACAACAGCCGTAGGGAGACGACCATCACGACGTACTCTGCGCCACCACCGCCGCCGGTTGTTTCACCAGAGCTGAAGAAGTGGTCGACGACTTCGAGTCAAAAATCTGGAGGGCTCTTCCCCAACTCCACCCTCCTGCGGCAACAAAACAACGAGGCGCATGCCAGTGGCTCTGCACCCCCGACAATGGATGATTCGTATCGGCGCAATCCACCGCCTCCTCGGTCTGCTGCGCAGGACACGAGCATCTCCTTCGGTGAGATTCCTGTGCAGCAGACCTTGTCAACATGTAACACGGGGGAAAAATTACCATCAGCCTTGCAACAACACATTGGCGCACCAGCTGCCATCGCGTTGTATGGTGCAGCGAAGGAAGAAAGCGCGCCTCCACGTCGCACCGTACCGCCAGCTTTCCGTCGTCAGCTGCAATACTCGGAGGCTGCACCGACAACACGTCGGCCGAAGCGCAAGTGAGCAGGCACTCGCAGAGGCCGCAATTTGCTATGTACACTATTGTCATCATCACGCATGATTGGAGCTGCTTTCATGTGTTCCTTCCAAATGTTTTTTTTTTTTTGGGAATTTGATGTGAAGATGCAATCGCTTTACAGATATATATTCTCGTAGTTTATTGGAAGATCACCGGCGAAAACAAAAAAACAAGGAAAAACAATGAGATGGGAAGCGACCAAAATGGTTCAGGGGGAGCATACGTCTCTCTCAGCAGGACGGCATCACAGCAGCCAATGCGCCGACTGCAAAGAAAGAAAAAGGGGAGCACGATGGCCTTCATTTCTGTCTGCCGTTGCTATTCTGTACAACTGCGTCTTCTGTGTAGCCTTCAACTGCTAATGCATTATTGTCCGCTATTGCTCTCCCTCTCTCTCGCACCTCGCGATCTCGTCTTTTCCTCCAATTTTAAACGTGCCTTGCTGGACACCTCCCTCCCCTCTCTCCTCAAAAGGGTGGGCAGCGACAAAGAGAAGGGAACTCGTGGCGAGCGGGCATCTGGCTTTTGTTCAGTGCTTATTCGGGTCTCCTCTATTATTCCCATACAACCATTGGAGTGCCTCGCGGAAGTCCTTCCGCATTACGCTACGTTTCACAGTGCAGGACCCTCCTGCACACGATACGTAGCCGCACACACACACACACACACACCATATAGAGGCAGCAGCGAAGCGTGTTACAGTACCTGGCATAGATTAGATCACCCCCTTTTTTTTTTTCCTGTTTGTCCGTTGCATCTTTTTTGCGCACGGCCTTTTTTGTTTTCTTCTGTAACTCTACACACCTCACTCCTCTCGCT